CAGTTCATTTTATTAATCTATTTTTACTGGGGGGGAAAAAGAAACATCATTTAAACGCTTACCTTAATATCTTAAGAATCTTTTCTAAATACTTAACATCAGTGCATTTTTCAATGAATTTGTAGTCCAGATGGTCAATAGGAATTTTGTATGTTTTCGTCGTTTCATGGCCCAACCAGGATGACATTTGACCAGCACTTATAGCTACAAAGATAGAATTTAATTATTTCCAAAATATTTTCTCAACGTTATTTATGAAATTGCCCAAGTTATAAAATAAAATGCTATAAATCTGGCCAAGCTTTCTGGAAACTATTTTCAAATATAGAAGAAAGGTGTCAATCTCAACCTTAATTTGGACCTGGATCAACACCTGTATATAACCCTTTGGCATCCGTAGTTCCAGTGCTTTTTTTATAAAAAAAAAAAAAAAAGGTGCCGGAACTCACACACGTCATACAACCCGCCTTGCCTACCCTACAAGGTTCCATCCAAAAAAGGTGCCAAAACTGCATTCTGGGCGTTCTATGACAAAAAAAGCCATCTAAATTTGAGACATTTTCTTGATGTTGTCACAAAAATGCTGCTGTATAGATGTGATTAATCATAAACAACCATTTATCAATCAAGGAAAACAGGTGAGACTGCTCCATATTCCACTCTAAATATTTTCTATGACTCCAAGTTATTTCCAGTATGGGAAATAACAAATATGACAATATTCTGGGCATATTGTCAAGCAAAACTGCATATTTTATTCAAATATTTTCAAGGAAGCCTACGTGGCCCTTAATGATAGTGTAATAAATAAAGACAATGGCAATTCCAGGTTCTTTTGCTTCACATTATGTTTTCTCATTTATTTTTAATTAAAACAAAATTTAAATAAAATAATATGAGCAGGAAAAGAGAACACAGAGACACAGGACAAAATACTTTCAGATTTTCCTCATGGACCTCTTTTATACATGCCTTTTTTTTGAAGTCAATCACATGGAACCATTTCTGGGACTAGAGCCATATTGATTTATGCTCAGCACTTAATAGAAAGAACTTACCCCCCCCCAAAATAATAATCCAAAAGCAAGTAGAATGATAGGTTATTTGTTACCAACTTGTCTCTGTATTTCAAATAAGCCAGAATTAAATCAGGATATGATGCATTCCTTTAAGGTAATACTGTATATGAACCATTCAAAGAGTCAAGTGTTGATGATGATAACCTGACTCTGATGGAGTTAAACACAGCATGTTGGATTTTATTCAAAAATAGACATTAGACTATTGCTGATATTACAGGGTTCTTTTTCCTGAATCCCATAAATCTGATCTGAAGGGTCACTAAATCTGGAGTAGATTTATGAATGGTCAGAAAAGAAATCTGTTTTATTGATAAAAGCACATCTTTTCCAGATCATATTGTATAATGAGAGATATTTAATAATTTTATCAAACAATTATTTTTAATACTATTCTGCCTTAAGTTATGCCCATGAGATGTTAGCAAACAAAGAACTGAAAATGAAAAACGGTCTTATAAATTCATTTTTGCTGTTTACAGATAAGTAGAGTAACTATCACAATGAACAGCATGTTGAATTTTAGGAGCTATATAGCTTAGTTTTATGATTCTGCAAAACTTAAAAATGTAAAATGATCCAGTTGCTCTTTGGAATGTCATCTTTGACTGAATTTAAGTAATTCATGCTGAGAAGTACTACTCAATTATCAATTTTTCCCTTTGCCTGCTCTAGCATCAGCAGAGATTTTTACCCATAAGATAATTGATCAGATTTAATGTTGCATAAGGAATAAATTGCCTATATCTTTTTTGCCTTGAAGACAAGGCAAAAAGTATGTGTGGAATTCTTATATTGCAAATGTATTTTGTCGAATGTATCATCATCAGTGTACATGTTTCTAATTTCAATTGCATTGAGTAAAGAAATATAGTGAGAAGTCGTTTTTCTTCAGTTACACAGCTGACTTAAATCAAAGGAGTACTAATTCCTATAATACATCTTTGTATATAATCCTATATATTTTGTAGCAGAACATCATGTTACTGTAGTTTTTGCCTATCAGGCAAACATGCCTATTCCTCTGTAAATAAGTATTTTCTGCTATGAAATTTTAAACATAGTACATGGCCATCTTGGAAATTATTTTTTTACCTTGGAACTAAGTTATGACAGATGTTAAAGTACAGATATGTGCTAGCACAAGCTATACCTTCACTCAAAAAGCAGTTAAGTTGTTTCATTATAAATGATACAATAAAGAATTAATTGAAAACCAGTGAAATTGGAATCAACCAATTTTAAAATTCAGATTTTATGGATCTTGCTGGAATTCATTGTTCTGTACAATAATTTACTGCATTTTATTTTATTTTTTGACTGAACTCCAAAGAGACACAAAGAAAACAGGAGAAATGTATAAAGAATAGCAGCAAAGCACAATTTTAGTTAAGAAGGTAAATGCCCTCTGTCGTTCAAAAATGATATGGCAGCCTTTTTTCAAATGATTAGCAACTGTTGCTATGTACTAAATTGAAAAGTATGGCTTCCTGAAATTTTGCACAGCTTCACTATATCCATTAACCTACTCCACTGTTTCATAAAATGCCGGTCTAAGATGCTTAGGAGTTCGTCAAGACTGTGAAATTGAAATTGTTTGCCAGAATTTAAATTCTATGAAACTACTATATTAAAAACCATCAAACAATGTCAATTTTAATATGATAAATATTGATAATATAACCCATATAAGCAAGTTTGTTGGAGGCCCTTTGTCATTTTTAAAGTGGGAAGGTTCGGAGTGAACAAAAGATTAAGAAATAATGATCTAACTTGTCAAGGCTGCACTGAGCTCTTTTGTCAAAGGAATTCCTACGCTTGAGAGTGAATTCAGAAAATAAACTAATTTGGTACTCTATGCATAACAGGAGGATCAGTCTTCTCCTATGAGATTCAGGCTAAAATAGGAATCTGTCTAGAGCTGTCTCTTTTCAAACTTGGCAACTTTAAAATGGGTGGACTTCAACTCCCAGAATTCCCCACCTAGCATTGTATTGAATTATGCTGGCTGGAGAATTCTGGGAGTTGAAGTTTAGCCATCTTAAAGTTGCTGAGTTTGAAAAACACTGTTCTAGCGTTCTTTAAGGCAAGGCCAGATGAGGCCTCTTTGCTCCCCCTCAATTACCACTCCCAACCACATCAAGAGATGCTGCGAGTTGTTTCAATTACATCTAGGATCCAAGACCCTGAAGAAAAGGTAGGTAGGTGGAAATGAATGGACTGGTCTTGCCCCTCAGCCTTTCCCCACTCCTTCCCAAACGAAACCCGTGTTTACGGTGTTCACGGGAAGCCCCCCCCCTCCGCGGGTGTCCTCTAATTGTTTCCATTGATATCCCCCCTCACCCCGAATCTTTCCCGCTCTCCCCAATTCCTCTGCATCCCACCCCTTTTCCTTTCTCGTTCCTTGGACAGTTACCTGTTTCAATGAAAGCCGAGCGCCCGCCCCCTCCACTGCTTCCCAACAGTCGGTCAAGCGATGCTGCGAGGCGAGCGTCCACCCGCCGTCAGTAGCCAATTAATGCGCGCGCTTACACCTGGCAGATTCTTTCTAGGCATGAGATTCAGTACCTGAAGAGCATGCGTGGAAACCCCCGCCCCAGCCAGGAAACTCTCCATAGGAGCAGCGGGAGTGGCGTCGTTGGACGGTCACTATGGCGACGCTGGGAAAGAAACCTTTCCTCCCGTTTTAAAACACTGGAAGGCCCTGAGATGCAGAAGGAATCGGTTTAATATTTTACTCAGCTTACATATTCTTTTCTGTTTTTCCTTCCACGGAAAGCAGTTTAGCAAAGGAACAAAACAAGAAAAAAAAAATGGCTCACAGCAAATTAAGTCGTTCAGCAGAAAAAAAACAGAGGAGGAGCCTTGTTGTCCTTAGTACATCCAAGAAAGATAACCAGGTTTCATATAAATGTAATGCAAAGCAGGTGGAAAATTAGATTCAGAATTCTTCCAGCTGCTTATGGAAAAAGTATGATATAGTATCAGACCCAATTTCCTTCAACGGGTATTCTCTAATGTCAGCCTATCTCTTAGAACGATAAGACTGATTGTCCATCTGAAACTAAAGTATGTAAATATTTAAAGCAGTGGTTCTCAACCTGTGGGTCAGGACCCCATTTGGGGTCGAACGACCATTTCACGGGGGTAACCAAACAACACAGTCCACCCTTCCCCCCCCCCTTTTCCTTAGCTGTGCTACTCCCTTTTATTCTATTGGCTTTTGAAAGCCAATAGAATAGAGTCTAATTCTATTGGCTTTCAAAAGCCAATAGGAATTGTCCAGGCTGTCTCTGCCCTGCTAAGCCCGTCAAAAGTCCCATTCTGCAAACGGTGCTGCACCAGTTGAGTAGTCCTCGACCTACGACCGGTTGGGGGTCGCAGCATTAAAAAGGTTGAGAACCATTGATTTAAAGCTTCAATAAAGTTAAAAATAAGGCAGGAGAGTTATAATTGGGAAAAAAACATAAAAATCAAGCCAAATGTCTGTGAAGGGATTCTCACTTTTAAAATCCTTGTCATTTTAGCCTTCATTTTCCAAGAAATCAAAGATTTTTAATATGTACACATATTAAACTGATATGTTACTTTTTCTGTACTTTGCATAACATTGTTTCCCCAACACTGGAACACTGTGGGGCGGGAAGTGAGTATTGAGCATACAATATTTGTAACCAGTCAACAAGATAAAGAAGCCTAAAAATAAATGATTGGGCATCTATCATTTATTCATTTATTTTAAAGCTGGAATATCTGAGCTGTTGTTTTATGATCCATGCCTGAACTACTTCATTCCTCCAAACCTTCCCTATTTCATTCCAAATCAAACACAATTTGGTAATTTTAATTAGATAGTACCATTACCCACCAACATGTAGATTTAACTCTAATCAAATTTTGCTCCTAAACAGAGTCAACAAAATGTTTGAATAAAATTTTATTGTAAGAACCAAAATCTTTGTTTAAATAAAATTAACACAGAATGGATATGAATTCAGATCAATTAGATGCATCTTCTGTTCTCTTCATCGGGCATCAAATACAACTACTATGACAGAGTTAAAGAAATGATTGGAAAGTATAAAAATGGCAACTGTAACAAAAATTAGACAAATAATTTTATAATTTGCAATGTATAAATAAAAGAGCACAGTTGTCCCTTAGCTGATCTTTTGTCACATGTATATTTTCTCGTAGTTCACAAATTTATTCCTAACTGGAGGCCTATACATGAATTCTATTATCTTACTTATAATCCTTCTTCCTATTGCTCTTCTTCACTAACACATAAAACACATAAAACTAAATCAGATCTAAAAACTATTAAACTGATTCTGCCCATGCAACCTATCTCGAAAGTGTTTCTGAAAGGGCTTGGATGAGACAGTGGCTCAATGCTGTGGAATCTGATTCCTCTGGAAGTATAAGTAGAAACTTCCTTCTTTACATTCTACAAAATAGTTAAAATATTTTTATTCTATTACATTTTTGAACAAAGCAATTGTAGAGGTCCATTGTGTATGCATCTATATATTGTTCTAATATGTTGTTTCTATTTTTTTACCTTATTTAATACCAGCCAAAATCTCACAACTGTGATATCTACCATTATTATGAATAAATAAAAGCCCAGGTCAACATCTATTAGTATTTTCAGGCATTGCAATGAGGAAAAATGGGTGTGCTATGTGTAAAAATTCCCTACCCACACTGTTTTGAATGTACTCCTTAGATGGCTGGAAGCCTGAAGAGAAATTGATTTAAAAATGTTATAAAAGGAAACATTAAACTGGGACAGCAAATGCTGGCACAAGTTAAGTGTGACAGAAGCTGCTTTCAGTACTCACACTTACAATGTCACTTGAGAAAATAGATTACAAAGTATTATGTTATATACTTTGAGCTGTGACAAGCCTGCTTTAAAGTACTTCTAAATCAGATCCAATATTTGCATATTTAATAGTGTGGGATTCTATTTTATAGATCATCTTAAGAAGCTTTTAATACTGTCCCAATTTTATAGTACACTTCATCTCTTCTAAGTAATATACAGGTAATCCTTGACTTACAACAGTTCATTTAGTGACTGTTCAAAGTTACAGTGGCACAGAAAAAAATGATTTTTGATTGTTTTTCACACTCATGACCACTGCAGCAACTCATGGTCACATAATCAAAATCTGGATGCTTAGCAACTGACATATTTATTAGGATTATAGTGTCTCAGGTTTATGTTATCTTTTGTAAATTTCTGTGAAGCAAAGTCAAGGGGGAAGCCATATTCACTTAACAACTGTTAATAACCTAGCAATTGTAGTGATTTATTTAACAACTGTGGCAAGAAAGGTTGTAAAATGGGGCAAAACTCACTTAACTTTTAGCAACAGAAATTTTGGGCTCAATTGTAGTCCTAAGTTGAGGACTACCTGTATGAAATAAAACAGACTTGTTGGCAAATCACTGTGTAAGCATAAAATGACCTCACAGAATTAGAGAGATACTAGAAGAGATAAAACACAAGTTAAGATGCTCAAATCTAAGGATACATCTTTTTGTTCTTTTCTTATACATTATTCTGTAACCACACTCTCTGCATCTGATAGGGTCTCTTGCTTTTATCTCATTTTCTTTGTGGCAATCTGAAAATAATGACAATAAGGGTTAAGAGATAAAATGAAACATGAAACCAAACTAAACATTAAGACATAAAAATAAAACACAGATTTTATTGGAAACAAGAAAATAAGTAACCAACTTTCTGACTATTCTTCAATGATTATGATTAAAACTTCAAGAACTTTTCCCTCTAGTAAAAAAAAAAACCATTAGATTATGAATGGCATTTCATATTCCTTTTCACAGAGTAATTACAGGGAGGAAGCAAATCCATAGTAGCTATAATATTCTTCTTTCCTTCTTTTTTAGAATGCAGAAAAACAGCATTAGCATGGAAACTCCAGAAGATAAACTACAGTGATCTTTAACTAACATACATTCTATTGAAATCTATAGCACTCTTAGGGTTCATGTTTTTTAAAAAAATAATCAGGACTCAAACCAATTGGAAAAAAACATATGAACACTTTTAACAAGAAAGTCTTGTTAATAACCCCTCCCCAAACCCTATCCCTTTAACAGCTTTATTCCCTGTGTGTTATAGCATTACTTACCTCCGCAGATGTATATCATAGGTTGCTGCTTTGGAGGGGGAGCATCTTCTTCAGTTTCCATATTCTGTTATAAAAGAAAGCCATAATTTTCCTCCACGAATCGATTGCAATTGAGCCAATTAAAAAGAAAATGATACAAAAGAGCTCGTTAAGGTACTGGAAACAACACAAATGCAAATTAGCCCATCCCATGACTTACCGGTCGTGGCTTGATCTATGAGGTTTTACTCCGAGCGTCACAAGGAAATGTGAATTGAGAAAAAAAGGGACAAAAAAAATTGCAGATTTGTTCAAACGAACTGGATTCTTCAAAATAAACCGATTACGACGGCCTCTGTCTCTTATAAGACGTATCCCACACGCCCTACTCGGTGGCGCACGTTGATGACGTAATCAAAACTCCGTCGCCTTTACGGAAAAGCGATGCAGAGCTTCAGCGATTGTATAACGTTTTATGAATGTACATATATTACTAGTTTGATTTAGTAAACGAGGGCGGAGAGAGATTTCTCTTTTTCAATATACAATAAAAACAAAATGTGTAAAAAGGTCCTGAAAGGACTTTAGGAAGCTGGAAGATTCAAAACGTATTTAGAACAGCTTCTAATATCAACACTATATCTGAATAGCATTTATTATAACTACAATACAGGTTGGTTTCAAAAGAAATGATCTGACGATCTGTAAAATGCTTTTCCTTACTGCTAAGTAAAAAATATAGTATTATGGACAAGATCTCACCATGCCACAGCACTGGACTATGAGCACATTCATTGAAGTCAATGGGACAAACTCATAAGTACTTTTAATACTGTGACTAAATTCACATATTAAAAACTGCTTTGATTAACCAAAGTTTATTAAAAAAAATAGTTGGCCACAGTTTACAAACCACAATGACTAGGTTCACACTATATAACTCAAACCAAGCAAATCATGTAATGTGGAACTTGTGTCTCCATTGTTACAAAGAAATTTAATTCTTTTTCAGATTAATATACAATCCTCCCTAATGCTGTACAAGCTCTGATAGCATTCTATACATAAAGGAAAGTGTTCTTAGGGGTATTTTCACATGACTTATTGAACTTTAGCAAACTACATTTTAGCTTAGCATGTTAGCAAAATTAGGCTTGTTCATTTATGGTTCAATAAGACCTTTACATTCAGAAAAATGGGTGAATACACTGAGTCAGCAGACTACAGTTAAGCATGTGGTGCGCATACTAATGCATACTACTTTTACAAGCAGTTTGTACAGTTAGTCAATATAGTATTCATTCCCAGCTCTAAACTGGGAGAAGAGAGATCGTACGGGGCTTATTTTAAGTGTCTTAAATAAAAGCCGTGTGACAAGACTTTTCATTCTCGTATCATTTTAACATTGTGAATTCTTTTGGAACATTGTGAAACGAGAACTTTTCAGTACAGAGTGAATGAGAATTCCAATCGACTTCACTGTGAATTGCGATGGCGATGAGCAGGGACTCCGCTTCAGTACTAAACATATACAGATTTTTATACACAGTGCAAAAAAACAACAACCCCAGAAAACGTCCTAACGGTAGCGGCTAAATAATGCATCCAGCGAAGCCCGAAGCAAAACTACGGTAGACTGGGCAGAGATGGAGAGAGAATTAAGACAGGGATGAAACCTGTCCAAAGGAAGCCAGTCTTCCTGCTGATTTAACCTCCCTTCGCAAAAAAACAAAAAAAACAAAAAACAAACAAACAAAAACCTCTCAGCAGTTGCCTTTTTTGCTCGACCAGCCTCGGGCAGCTGCAGGGCCGCACCCGCTCTTCCTCCGCCCTTTTGCTGAACCGCGACGCTCGTGCGCCTGGGCTTCTTCGAGCCTCCCTCCTTGGAGCTAGCGGGGCGGGGGGAGCTGCAACAGTTAGGAAAGGCGGGTACTTCAAACCCGAGCGAGGGAAACCTCAGCTGGCGCACGCGGGCAGCCAGCGGCTCCTTCCTTCAGCTGTCCCAGGCGGAGGCTAGACAACAGAGACAAGCTCTTTCTGTCAGCGCGCTCCTGTAAATCTCTGGGGTGGCGCTCGCGTGGCTTCCCCGTCTCACTGGCTCCCCGTTCGTCACCGTCCTCCCCTCCGCTCCCCGTGCTTTCCTCGCCCACCTTGACCGGAGGAGGATTGGAGAGCTCTCTTGCCCCTCACTCCCGGGGAACGAACCCCGCGTCTCTTTCTGTCCCGGCTCTTCTGATCCCACAGGAAATGGCAAGAGTATAACCCCTCACCTCAGGTGCAAAGCGGGTGGTTGAACATACCTGGACGTGAATTACATTTACCTCCCATTAAGGGCTTTAGCATACTGCTGAGGGATACACTGGGGAAGAGGTAGAGGGTTCCCCCCCCCCCGCGCTCTTGCCTTTCATCTCTCCTCCTCCATTTCGAATTAAATATGCAGAAAACTTCACCTGAAGCAACTTTTGCCTTTCAGACTGACTAGGTAAGTGAGGTCGTTGCCTGGTCTGGTGGAGGAAATTTCACACAGCCAACACTCAAGACATTAGTAGGGGATGAAATTGACTTTACACGGGGAGGAGAAATGTTTGGAGTAGTTTAGATTGCAGTGCTCTACACACTAATCTGGAAGTAGAGGGAAAAAATAAGGGTCTTGCTTCTGAGTAGACACGCTTAAGATGGCTGTTGTTAATATATCTGAGGTAAAATGTTGCAGGTGAACTTAAGTACATCTGTGTTAGAAATATTCCTCATTCAATGCCTTATGAAAAATCCAGTGCAGGCAAAATATATCAATATTTAACTTGTCTTAAATATATTCCAAAACTTCTACACAGAGTTGTAGGGGGCTGCATGTTTTCAATAGTGTATGCCCTTCCCTGCTAAACTTTATTACTGGTAACTGTTCATTTCAAAGTAGAACAGAAGTAGAATATTAATTCTCACCATTTTCTAAGCAATTGAAAAAGATCAAAGATGTCACAGTTCTCCCTTCACGATGATCATTTTTTGTGTTCTAATAAGAGTCAAATATATGCTGCTTTTGAACATGGCGGTTCCATTTTTAGTTACATATTCCAAGTAATAACTACAGCCTGCATCTATAAGTCAACACCTTAGTTCCGCCAGGGAAAAGTTGTTTAAGGCTGTCAAATCTGTTTTTCCATATTTTTAAATATACTACTAGATGAAATTGTGATTTAGCTGTTGCTTTTCTGCAACACTGCTCCTGCCCCCCACTGCCCTTGGGTCAATTCACACTCAAGACTTCACTGGAAAAACAATATAAACTGGAGGAAGAGAATCAGAGGGAAGAGGAAGGTAGAAGAAAAATAGTATTTTCTAATGTAATTGACCATAAATAAATAAATAATCTTCAAGTATCTGATAACTTGTGAAAATGATCATAATACTGTAACAAATAATACTAGGGCAACACACTTTTTAAGACATTTTTATTTACTTGCAGCAAGCTCAAAAAGCTTTGTTAGATGACAGGTTAATTTTTTTACTAGACCTTTTTTTCTATAATATAAATCATAAATGAGTTTTAGAAAATGTTTGCCATGCTGTTTCAGTAATCCTCACTGAAACTAACAAAATTGCCTTTCTTTCCAAGAAAGACTGTCATATAATTTTAGTTTTTTCAATTGATTCTTGAATAGTGATGTTAATGTACTTTGACAAAGATACTGTAAGTAAGATTTTTTTGAGAACTAAAAATTAACACATTAATTATAGCATAAACTTTAGGACACACAGTTTGGTGTTGTGATTAAGGCATAAGTCTAGAAATTTTAGTCCTGCCTCACACACAAAGTTGATTGGGTGACCTTGGGTCAGTCACTCACTCTCAGCCCTAGGAAGCAGGCAATGGAACCACTTCCAAAAAAGCTTGCCAAGAAAACTGCAGGATCTAGTCCAGACAATTGCCAAGAATAAAAAACAAAAAAACAAAAACAAAACGGATTCGAAGCTAACCCCCTCCCAAAAGCTTTAGGAAATACACACATGCACATAAATAAATCATACTAAGTTGAAAGGGAGTTATTCTCAGGTAAGCAACATTAGGATCACATCATTTATTATGCTTTCCTTAATATATTTACAACTATTCCAGTAGCAGCCTCTATTAAAACAGCAAGGGTAGGAAGTCTCTGGATTCAGTGAGATTTGAAACTGAGTAGACATGTATAAACTTGCATACTTCAGTCCTTAGCATATATATTTATAATAGCATGTTTTTGTACTACATGCAAAATATAAATTAAATAAACTTGCTAGAAGATGTCATCAAGTAGTGTTATCTAATGTCCTGCCTCAATTTTTAAGGTCTTTACTATACACTGATTTAACAGACTTGAAGTATTTGTTAGCTCTTTAACTAGACAGTAATAACATTGATATATTGAAGCTTCTTACATAGTCAAATGACAAATATTTTTTTAAATGAACAAATCCCTCCTGAAATATAACTGGAAAGCAGTGCAGGATTTTAGAAGACTTTTCTTTAAGTTAACAAAGTCATAGGCTTGGAAAAGACCTTTAAAGTCTTCTAGTCCAACACTATTAGATTGTGAACTAATTCTGATTATAAAGTCCCGTGCTTTGTTCTGTATAATCTACAATTTCAAGCAGTCTAAAGAGTTTAATATTTATAGCTGGTATAAATGTCTTTGTTATATTTGTAAAATGTTTCTGTTCCTCAGCATTTTGGGTAATGCCTGCACAATTGTGGAATGTTTGTTTTACCTGCAGTCTCCTCGTGAACCCACCAGGGTAAGTACAGAATTTTTGAAGATCCATGTAGATCTCCATCCATGTGGAGAATGGCCAGAAACTAAACTCTTTGGTGATTCTGTCTGAATACTGTATTACAAACCACTTTTAAAACTGAATAGATTTTGAGCTATCGTGTTAGTCATCTGTTTAAATAAACAATTCTATTAGATATGCCAACATTTGAGAGACTGAAAATCTTGTTGGTTTAAAATTAACAGCTTTCATAAACCAATTGCTAAATGAAATTTCTTGTTTTGAATGAACTATATTTCTGAAAACAAAAACATGGGTTTATAATTAAATAGTCCCCTTTTAGAATGGATGGATGGATTTAGAGAAAGAGATTGGTGCTACAAAGTTAACATACAATCTGAGAATTTGGAAGGGACCTCAAAGGTAATCCAATCCTGTTTTTGAAGTAGGGTCTGTCTATCCAGCCTTTGTTTGAAAACCACCTTTGAAAGCAATATATCACTTGAGGCAACCTATTTCACTGGCTAAAAGTTCCTGTTGTTAAGCAATGCCTCTTAATATCAAACCTAATTCTTTTCTATAATTTATTCTAGTTCTGTTCTTCAAGACAAAAGAGAACAACTCCCATTGTCTCTTTTGCACAACCATCTGAAGACTGCTATCAATTTTATTTCTTGTCTTGTCTTCTGCAGGCTAAATAAACATAGTTATTTTAACTATTCCTCACAGGACTTGTTACCTTGTCTTATTACCATCTTGACAACCCCTTTCTCAACTTATTCTAACTTGTCAATGTTCTTTTAAAAATAAAACTGGACACAGTATTTATTGTCAGCCCTGACCAAGACAGAATGGGGCAGTTATTTCTCATAATCAGGATTCTAAGCTTCTATTATGTCAGTCCTTCAGGATAGACCAAATCACGAAACACACTCTACTTAAAGACCAGTGTTATGCTTTATTGAGATATGAATAAAGGCAAATAGACGTGTCTCGGGATGTTGCAAGATCCAATCTGGTTTTGTTACCGGAACCAGAGGTTTAGTCTTCTGAGATTTCGAAATCATGCTGGAGCCTATCCTCAGGGAACTTCTCTCTCACCAGAATGTGTTTATTGAGATAGGCTATAATACAGGTAGCCCTCGACTTACAACCATGTGTTTAGTGACCATTTTGAAAAAGCAACTTATGACCATTTTTCACATTTACGACTGTTGTAGCATCCCCATGGTCACATGATCAGAATTTGGATGCTTGGCAACTGGCATATATTTATGATAGTTGCAGTGTCCTGGGTTCATGTGATCACTTTTTGCGACCTGACAAGTAAAGTCAATGGGGAAGTCAGATTCATTTAACAACCATGTTACTAACTTAACAACTGCAGTGATTCACTTAACAACCATGGCAAGAAAAAATTGTAAAATTGGGCAAAATGAACAACTGTCTTGCTTATCAATGGAAATTTTGGGTTTAATTTTGATCAGATCTCCCATTCCAAAACTTAAAGAATGTTTCTGTTTCTTTATTTACATAACAGTTTCTAAATATGTGTTTTAAGACCATCTCCCTTTTTTTCTACATGCTAATACTTCTTCACACAGCATATGCCTTTTTAGAAGTTCTGTCACTTGATTGGCTCATATTCAACCCAACATCTGGTAAAATACCCAGATCCTTTCCAGATCAACAGTGGAAGTTTTTAAGAAGAGACTGGACAGCCATTTGTCTGAAATGGTATAGGATTTCCTCCCTGAGCAGGGGATTGGACTAGAAGACCTCAAAGGTCCCTCCCAACTCTATTATTATTATTGTTATTGTTGTTGTTGTTATTACATTGATGCTTTCCACATATGCTACTGCCAGGTGGGATCTCCCCTATTTTTACCTGTTATGTTTCATCCTGTTCATTTCACTCCAATGTTCAAGCTTGTTAGATATTTCTGAATCTTCTCTTTATCCTTTGAACTTTTAGCCTCTTCTAATTTTGTGTCACCAAATTGACAGTCATTATCTCAATTCCTTCATATGAGTCATTAATACAAATGTTAAATAAAACGGGATCCAGGACAGAATCCTGGGATGCACTTCTCTCCATAATACTCTTCAGTCTGATAAGAGTCATTTATGAGTACTCTCTGGGTATAATCATTCAGTGAGCTATGAACCCATTTAACAATTATTCATTTTGTATTTTACTAGCTTATTAATCAGGATATTATGAGATAGTTTATTAGATATTTTTTATATTTCCATAAAGACAAGGACAATCCCTATTAGACTCTCTTATCCTATGCATTATTACGTAAATGAAAACTAAAACTACGGTCCTATTACCTTATTCAGAAATAAAATTCTATGAACAAAGTGTTATTTATTTCTAATTATGCATGTATATAACTGTCTATTACCTACACATTTATTGTCATAAACAGGAAACGACTTTCCTACATTGGGAAAAAAACCCTGTTCCCTTTAAGAAGAAACAAAAGATACAATATATTAGAAAAGTCATAAATACTCATAATTCAGTAACCAAACAGGTTAGAAATTACAACTTTTTGGAATGAATAAATAGGAATGGACCAGATTAATATAGTATATGAACCCAAGCATATTTAGAATCAAAGTTCTTTGATTCTTTAATAAAAACATTAAGTATATATCATATCATTATTTTAAAAGCTGGTGAAGGACAGAAGCGGATAATGACAGGAAAGCCAATACTCTGTGAAGTCTACCTGACAATGGAGTTCATTTGGTGATTTGGACATCATCCTGGCAGATCCCTTCAGCTCCATCTTAAGCTTCTAGAAATAAAAAGGAAGGAAATGAAATTATAGCAACTTTATTTAAAAAAACAAAAAATATCCTTCAATATGTTAGGTATAGCTTCTTTTACATAGAAATGCAATATTTAACTCACGCATTTTAAAGTTTTTTTTAAATTAAAAAGTTACACTATTCCAAGGAATAAAACTAAACTGTTAAGATCTAATTTTGCTAGAGCTCGATCTTCACTTTTTATCAGTTTCCAATTTATTCATGGATACAAATCAGAAATTACCAAGTAATTCCAGAGTTACTAAGAACATGCTAGAAAACGATATAAATTAATAAGCAAAAGAGCATGGCACTTTTTTCAATAATAACTGATAATACCAAATATATTAATTTTCAGAACACAAATATCTTAATATATAAAGCAGACACAAAATGTGGTGATTGAATTCTTTGGTTAAAATATTTCCATGAATATACCAAAGAATATTAAATTCTTAAATAACAGAATAACGGAGTTGGAAAGGACCTTCTAGTCCAGGGGTGTCCAACTCGCAACGTCACGTGACGTGTCATGACATATCACATATTACCGGCAATGGGGTGAGCGCGCTTTTGCTATGATGCATCCGGCCCGCGGGCTGGCAGTTTGACACCCCTGTTCTAGTCCAACCCCCTTCACAAGCAGGAAATCCTACACCATTCCAGACAAGTGCCTGTCCAGTCTCTTAAAAGCCTCTTTTTAAAAGTCTTAAAAGATAAATAAAATTATAACTATAAATAAAACTATGCTGTTGATTTCTGAAGTAAAATACTATTTTTTATTTTGCAGAGGATAATCGGTTCCAAACACAAGATGTCAGAAACCCATTCAATTCTATCTAATATTTTTAAAAGGGGCAGACTGACCTCTCCTGGAAATAGTGCAAGATACTGCAGTTTTAAAGATTCATGCTCTCCTTCCATATTTCATGACAGTGGGTACAATGAATCAATCAAGAACCCAAGTTTTTATTATACTGATACAGAATGCAAAGGAGAACAGAATGAAACAGAATATTCTAAATATTTGCATTCTAGTAGTTTGTGCACTTCAGTTTTGTCTCCCATTAAGCATAATGCTATTTTATCAGAAGGACAGGATGCTAATATACCTAGAGACTATTGTGAAACACCCAAAGTTGCTAAAAAAGACTCAACACTCCGCAGAAGGTTACTTGTATCTAAAGCAGCATCTGTTGGTACATTGGGATTTTCTGAAAAGCAGCTGTCATCTTCAGGGAATAATAAGAAAAAAACAAGTTTAGCTCATTTCCTTAGCGTTGATGAAAGGATATCAAAGCATGCTTTGGATTCTCCAAAAGAGAAAAGCTATAAGCCTTTGGCTACCAGTACTCTAAAAATTGAAGAATCTAATTCTGACTGTCAGAAACTGAGGTTTATGTTCTCCCAGCAAAGGACTTCTACAATAGATGATTCAAAACCTAAAGGCAGCTTGTCAGAACCAGGTGGTTTATCACCAATCCAGTCCAAATCTTTTACAATCACTCCTAATGTTTTAACTGAAAGTGCACATGTATGTTTTAGTAATCAGAGTTCAGGGTTAATCAGAACTTCACAATCTTCATTATTTATTATAAGTGATGACAAATTTATCACACCCATCAACAATCTTGTTGAAAGATTTAATCTTAATACATCCGAAACAAATACACCATCTGCTAAAGAAATAAGTGACTTGAGCTTGTTAACTTCTGATACCAGTAGCTATAATTCATTTGGGTCTGATAAATCAGAAGAATCCTTGTCAGATCATGAGGGATCCTTCCAAGAATTACTTCAAAAATGTAATGAATCTTCCAGTAATCTAAATTCTAAAAGAAAGGTAAGAAAACTACAGCGCTCAAGAAGATTATCCACTCTCTCAGAATGTGGGTCACAATCCGAAAAAGAGGAAGATTACAATACAGCTGCTAATTCAAAACTCAAACAAAAAGTAGATGATTTTACCAATGAAGACAATGAATTAGTTTTTAAAGAAGATGAAAGTAAATGCATGGCTCCAAATTTTGGAAATCTCTCAAAAACTCCGGCTTTGCAAGTCATTCATGAGATCTTTATGCAAAATAAGAATAAAAGAGCAGACAAAAAAGATTTACTGAAGAAATTTGATGGTGATAATTTATCTGTGTTAAAATATATTGTTGCTCAACTAATTGGCAAGAAAATGGGAATAGAAAAATTAGATATCTTAACAGAATTAAAAGACAGAGACTTAAAACATATTCTTGCTATGATTTTAGACATTCTGAATGTAGAAAGCTTATACAGGTAAGAAATCTATTTTACAAAATTATAAATGTTTGCTGAATGTCTCCACTATTGTTTACTTTTCTATATAAATATAGCTATGCTAAAATTGCATAGACTAATAATAAACTTAGCTCTCTGAGTGCCTATGCTCATGTAGCCTAGCTGCACTATACAAAATGAATGGGCCCTCATCTGAAAATTTGCAAAGTTTGTAGAAGTTAACCGCTCTAACAATATTTTTTAAAAAATACAAAAAAATTATTTTGAAGACATATTTGGGCATAGAATATTTGCTGCTATTGATTAAAAACAGGTGGAAGCTTGTAGAATACACTATGGTAAATGGAAATCTGGATAAGAGCATTCCTCTTTTCAACATCTTGTGGTAGTTTTCACTTGTATTTCAACTTCTTTTTCCTTTGTGTTATGTAATTTCTGACACTTAGTACTTTCATTAAATAAGGCTTGGATTGGACAAATTATTATGTATGGAGAAGTGTCTGTAAGCTTGAGGAATGAAATATGTGTCTGTAAGTTTGAGGAATGAAGTATATCAACATCTTATGTATTAATTGCATATATTAGGAATTAAATATTTAACACTAGCATCTGTTTCTCCATAATAGATGATCTAAATTGTTAAAAATGATTAATCTAAAATATTCCCATAATTTGATGAATGTATATTGTCCTAATTCAGTTTGTTCTTAGTGATAACCTTCAGTGTAGTTCTTTCACTTGTCACATATTAGGAACATGGTATACTTGAATTATACACAATTATACATACAGTGTATTAGGAATGAAGTAATCCATTCAATTCTTGCATAATGTTTGGATGCTACTGACAACAAATCTTTCTTTCAGTATGTGGAAAGTAAGCAGAAACTGGCGAGAAATTGTTGTACATGATAAGCATGCGAATCGGAGGCGGAAGTTGTATATAAAACAGCTAAGAGTAGATGCTAAGGTAACTTACAATTGCACAGGTACTTTGGAAAGTGAATTGAAAAGACATGGTTTGAACTTGAATAAAAAATAACATGACAAATATATATATTATCTCAAGTGCATGTCAGTACACTGCTGAAACTCTGAATTGGTAGGATGTTGGTAACAATAAACCAGTTTAGAAGTTTATATTAGAAATTCTAGTTGGAACAGAACAGTATTAGTATTTGAAAGATAAAACTGGATTTTGACTGCACCTGTGGCATACTGGCCAGTATTGTTCTTGTTGTTAGCATATGGCATGAGTATGATTAAAAAAGGTAAGCTAGTTTACCCCTTCTCTATTTTATTAAAAAATGTTATATTAAGGCCTTGACTGACCAAAGCTATGTGTATGGACTATGTCTATGGTCATGCTAATATCAACAATATGATTTAGAAGATGTGACTTGGAATGTAAAAGGAAAAAATGGCAAAGAGGGTTGAAAAGAAAATGAAATGAACAGAAAAATATGTTACATATCCATGAAACTAAGACAAAGTGAAAAGATGGAATAAATGGTCTAATTGTATGGAGTTGATGAATATATGCAGAGAACTAAAAGAGTTGACTTAATTATCAATGAAAGATCATAAAAATCAGTTGCATGTTGTGAGAATATGGTATATAAGCAGTCTATTATGTTCATTCTTCATGTTCAAGAATCAGTTAAGAGTTGAATGTAAGCAGATTAAATATGAAAGTGAATAACCAGTACAAAGAAGTCAGTGGTGGGATTCAGCCGGTTCACACCACTTCGGCAGACCCAGTAGCTAATTTTTTGTTGCCCAGGCCCAGAATGGACTTCCGGAAGCGACATCCACACAGAGAACCGGTTGTTCACCTATTTGAATCCCACCATTGAAAGAAGTATTTTGAAGTGTGTTAGTCATACAGAGAGAATATGGATTAGATGGTAAAACAAATGCTGGAAAGGTGAAATAGTTGACTGGAATCAAAAGATTCAAAGCCATCTGATGAGTTGATCCTAAAAGGAAGAAGATGCTAAGCCTTTTAAAAGTCAATATATTTATGATCATGGTACAAGCAAGTGTGTTTGCAAGGACCAAAAGGTATAGTGAGAAATAGTGCATGTGTTGGCATAAATTTATTTTGGCTATGCTTTCTTTTCTCATCTCATGCTTGTAATAATTTCTTTGATTAACTATTGCCGTTTCCTTTTGTGCTATTCACATCATAACTTGCCCTAAAATATAATAGCAGAGATGTGCATATATGTAAGTGTATACCCTTTATCATCAGATAATAAATCTGTTTTGATAGATATAATTTAATAAAATTAATCTTAAAATACGTGTATTTGGTATGGTTAAGTTCTAATCACATAAGAAACATCTGTTTTAAAATTATTAAGATTTGCGGAATATTTTCTATATTTTTCTGTTTGTAAAATTGTAAAATATTCTGATAAATATATATATTTGTATGTAGTTATAATTTAGTTAATTCTCTGTTGGAAGTGATTTTTTAAATTGCATTTAAACTGCATTCACTCATAGAATGCTTCCATAGAAGATAGCCTATCTGTATGGATAGAATGAATTTGTTGAATTTCCTTTCCATTATGCCCCTATCTGAACTGGAAGTTTGAACAGACAGACAGACAGACAGAGACAGACAGACAGACATTAATGTGGAGCAATGTGAAGCTCAAAAGGCCTTACTTCTATCAACTCTGTAATCTAGAACAAACTTCTAAATGGTTGCCATCATGCTGAAATGCAAGGACAAATAGTAAATATTTGGGCATAAAAAGTATTCAGTGTGGGTATTAAATTTGAAGATCCTTACAGTATTGAAACTAAATGAATTAGAAAGTTCTTTGTGTAATTATTATAACTTATCAGACAAACAGCATATAGGATCTTTAAATGCATGGCTGACATAAAGTGGTAAATTACAAATTAAGTTTGTTTTTTGTAAAAATAAATGATATGTAGTATTGGATCTTTTTTAAAGGGATGCCTATTGGACACTGAAAATGCTGCTAGTAAATTTATGGTAACTAGATTTGCACTACGACCAGTCCAGGCTCAAGCAAAATCTGTGGTATTACAAATGCACTCATCATGCAAAGAATCTTTGACACCAATACAATGTAGCCCTAATTTTCAATCAAGGAGCAAGCAAGAAGCATATATAAAGGTAGGTAACTGCAATTATCTACTTTAAAATAAAGCACAAACCAGTCCCCACAATATAATTTGACATGGTCTCTACTAAGTTATGCAAGCAAAGATAAAAAAATATTTGTAAGTGTTGGAGAACATTATTTAAGTGACAAATATATTATTGAACTGAGGCTATTGTTAGATATTGCTGAAAAAGATCTCTGTTGCCATTAACATTGCCTCTTGCCCTAATATCTTTTCAAATATAATGAGGTGTTTTGACTTTTCGTTTAGAAATATACTGAGCATTCTGCTTCTCAAGTATATAATGTGAGAATAAATTATTGGCCCTATGAAAATGCATGCATACTATACCTAAACTCTGTTTTCCTGATATAGGTTGCGCAAACTCTTTTCAGTGATGAAGCTTTAAAACCCTGTCCAAGATGTCAGTGTCCTGCTAAATATCAGTCCTTAAAAAAACGTGGACTCTGTAGCCGGGAAGATTGTGCATTTGATTTTTGTGTTTTATGTCTATGTGCCTTCCATGGATCTAGAGATTGTAGCAGTTTATCTTCTATGCGGCAAAGTAAAAAAGAGGCTCTTCCAGGAAGTGCAAAAAGCAAGAGAAATTTAAAACGACTCTAAGCTTCTTGGAGTGAATAGAATCAAGTGTGTCATCCCCTACCCCTAATTTTATATACCATATATATATATATGTATAGATAACACTTTTTAATAATTATGTATTTTGAAAGTATTACTTTGACCACAAATCAAGTCGATAATTTAATTCTTTGTATCAATATTCTAAATATAACTTTTGATACATTTTTGAAAAAAGAAATGAAAACATTTTAAACTCTTGTATTGGTGTTTGTTACTTTGCCAGACACACTCATGAAATTTCAATAAAGCACTTTCAACATAGTTTGAATATGTCTTGCAATCTTGCTTTGGAATTTTAAATTTAGCTCTTGCCATTGTCAAAAAAGAATTAGTGTAAATGATATGTATTATATTTTATATTTTAATAGCTATTTCTAAATATATTACAATGATAATACCACAATTAAGTCATAGCAAGTAGTAATTGAGAAAACTAAGATGGATTGGATTTATTACATGCATGAGAGACCCCAGGAATTATAAGGGCTTTAGGCTACACCAGTGGTTCTCAACCTTTCTAATGCTGTGACCCCATAATACAGTTCCCCATGTTGTGGTGACCCCCAACCACTTATACATCACCGGGTGCCAGGAGCGTGGCCAAAGAAAAGGGGGAAAAAATGGCGGACAGCCTTGTTTGGCGACCCCCGTGAAATAGTCGTTTGACCCCAAATGGGGTCCCGACCCACAGGTTGAGAACCACTGGGCTACACTAAGGAGTTGAAAAAAAAAACCTCCTAAAAGAAAACAGTGACAAACCACTTCTGCAGTGTTGCCATGGACTTCTCCATATACTGTAGGTATGTGGAATCAAGCTTCCATAGCATAGACATATTTTCAAACATATTCATTCCAAATATTATTTATTTTTATAGCATCTAATTTTCTAATGCTATACAAAGCAACTGAAAAATAAGTTTAGGTTCAACAGTCAGGATACAAAAAGAAAAGCCAGAATAAAAAGAGAAAAAAAGAAGGAATTTCAGATACTGGAACCTGAAGTTACATACTCTTAGCAATCGTCTGAACTGAACAGGTGAGTGTCTCTGCCTCTGAGAATGCAAATGACCCAGCAGCCTTTAGTCCTCTGGTTGATGGATGACGCCAGAGCATAACCCCCTTCACTTTGTAGTTTCAGGGCAACTGGAGCCAAGTGATGGAATCTCAGCAGATCAAAACCAAGGCAATCTGGAAAACATGCAAATATATTTCAAGATAATCACCACAGAATAAACAAAATAATTACTCCTACAAAACTAATTTCTTCCCAAGCTACGTTTATAACAAATGGCTCTTATAATAAGGAATAGAAATTGTGTATGTCTCCTTTTTATTTTCTGTATTTAAAGTATTGTGTTCTCTACAGGAAGATCCTGAGCAGAAAAATATATGGCAACATGTGATAGATTTTGACTTCAAACATCATATTTGGAAATATGGTGATGAGTTGCATATTTATTAAGTATGCTGCTTAAATTCATTAAAAATTGAACATATTCAATAGAGATTGAGATCATATATAGATTATATTTTCCATTCATCTTCCTCTTAGAGCAGGCATGTCAAACTCGCGACGTCACGTGAAGTGACTTTTTTCCCATTGCCGGCAAAGGGGGGGGGGGTTTCGGTGTGACGCATCTGGCCCATTTGACATGCCTGTCTTAGAAGGCCAGATGCTTGTTTATTAAACAAATTTATATAGCTGCCGAACTCTGGGCAACTTACAGTTGGAATTGTCGTTCCATGATAAGAGCCTTCTCCCACTCAATAGTGGGTTTATATAAGCTCTAGAAAGAAAGCATCAGTAGAACTCTGCTAAAGGTTATATGTATGTATGTATGTATGTATGTATGTATGTATGTATGTATATAGTATTCCAAATGCTTGAGGAAACTCCAAAAGCTTATATAGTGGTACCTCAGTAATCATCATTAATTGGTTCCAGGAAGCACAATGAATACCAAGCAATTTTCTTTCCCATAAGGAATAATGTAGTGAGTCACAAGGCAGCTGACACTGACCAGTTCTAGCTTCTACATTAAGTATCAAACAAAGAATGAGTACTGGGATAAAATTTTCACATCAAAATGTGTTAAGTATCAAATTCGATGAGTTTCAAAGCAATTGAGTACCAAGGTACCACTGTATTTCCAATTACAAAAAAAAGCAAGTATTCCAATTTTTCCTCAGGAATGGAGCATATACACTAGATTAATATACTGTAGCTGTTTCTTGGCTGCTTTAAAATCCATGGTTATAGTTCTATTCAGGGACCATAAAATATATATTTTTATTGTTTTTAATTTTTGTTTTATGATGTATACTGCCCAGAGTCACTTGTTGAGATCTTATCAGAATGTATTAAAACAGTTTGTTATTGAATGTGTTACAATCATTGTCTGAACATGTGAATCAGATCTTCACTTTAAACCATAATGTGTTCTGATACAATAGAAATTACAAAATTAACTCAGTACAGTACTTGGTTTATCATGTCATGTGACTGCAGAAAATCAGCAACTTGGGGGAGGAGGGAATGAGTTGACCATATAAAGCTGTTTATAGTGATAAACCTCTGTGATTGCTGGAGAAGCAGCAAAATCTTAAGCCTCACAACAGGAAGCTTTCCTTGTGATTTTGTCAGCCCAATGTTCCAACAAATTTCTTAGAAATGAATGCATAGGATTTATCTTTGCATAGTCATGAAACAGGGATGGAGTTTGAGTTATTGAGGGCACGATAATGAATGTTACAGGGCTTCAGTTTTTAATAGGTTCTTCTGGCAACCAAAATGTCAAGTGAACTGTAAAATGTTGTCATATAATTTGTGGGATGATTTGCCAAGCTTACATTTGGGTAATGGCCAGCATGTGCCAATGGTGTTTTTGTAATGATATCTGCTTTTGCAAGCAGCGGAAGGACAGATGCTTGTGTTGTAAATATGTAACATCTCATGGGCCCAGCCAACTTTTACTAGCTTCAACTATATGCTTATTTATGCCAGATAAGCATTCCAAGGAATATATGTACAAAACATGCTTGGCTTGGCTTGATTTTAACCTTCAGATTTGTTGTTGCATTGTGTGTTCTACATGCCCTAAATCAACTCAGCATATTGTTCAAGCTAAATCATAAACATATGTCAGTAATTTTTAATGAAACTTCTGAATATAAATTTGACCCCAGTCTATTTCCATTAAAGCTAACTTGCCCAATTTTTGTGCCTGTAAAGTCACATATTTCACTTGACAAGATGGACTATGTAGTTTTAATAAAACAATGCACAATGTTTAATCCAAAGACTGGTTTTCTATTTGTATTTTTACCTATGTGCAACCTCTTCATCTTCTAGAATAGATCATGCTAACAATCTCATAAACCATATATGGATGTAGAAGTACCCATGACAAGTATCCATTGTATGCTGAAGTTGTTAGTTTTAATTTGACTATTAACTCAGTTGTTAAGTAAAAGGGTGGCTAAATGAAAAATCCCATGACCATGTTTATGATTTTATACAGGACAGTGTTAACTGACTGATGGCAAACATGTGGCTGAGAGAGATGCTGTGAAGATTGTAAATCTGGACACTGGTCACAAAGCTATTTTTTCATCTCTGTTATAACTGGGACTGGTTGCTAAATGAAGACCCTTATATCCTACCTTTGACTCCTTATCAACAATCGGATTGCAACATTCTGGATTAGTTGCAGCTTGGATAGTTTAAGTGGTCCATGAAGAGTAGAAATGGTCCATTCCATATACAACTAAGCTCTGCTTCATCAAGACCCCATTGGAAATCCATCAAAATGGCCGCATTTGGCATATTGAGCTGAGATATGCAAATTCATTCCAGGCCATAGCTGATATCTCAGCATTCAGGTTGAGAAAAGAATCCAGGAGGGCACCCAGAATGCATGTCTGAATCTTCAAGGAGTATGTAATTCTATGCAGTGAAAGCTGAATCTTCCTACTAATCTGTCTGATTGACAACTAGAGGATCTCTGTTTTATCTATGATTAAGCTTCAATTTGTTTGCCCTCCCATAAGCAGTCTGGACACATGCAACAATCAAATTAATAATGAATACCATAAAAATGGGATAAGAAGAACAAGCCAAATAAAGAATCCCTTCCAAAAAGGTTTTGTCACAGCATGGAAATATCTAGGTTCCAGTTGCTTGTGCTTTTCCATGACTAGAATGAAATTAATTATAACCGAATCCATGCCATATGAATTCAAGTGATATAAACCAGACAACACCCACACTCTCCCTCTGAGTTCTTTAAGCTGCTGCCAGAAGATCTTGTGAGAAACTGAGGGCATTTTTTCATTGTTGAATTTGGATCTTCAGGGAAGCCTGTGCTGAGAGGCATGTAGGAGGATCTGCAATAAATAGGCTCAGAGAACCAAATATCTTTTACTCCCCTGATGTTTGATATCTGACACTCTACAGTGCAGCTCTGTGAGTTTCTGTTTTGAAATATGCTGGATTTCACCACTAGGGGACAACAAAGATTCATTTTCAGAACTATACCTATTTTTAATCTTGTTCTAAGGTTTATTCGTGGCAATTGTAAACTCAGAAACATAGATTCATATTCCAGCCCTTCCTGCCAACTATATTCAGAGTATATTTAATATTTAAAATATGTTTTCTTTGGCTATCAGTTACAACTTACTACTCAGAGAGGTCTTGGTTTATTTCAGTGAGATCATGTAAAAGACCTGAAAGCAAGAGGATGGAAGTTGGATGCTTAGGACTAAAATGACCTTGGTCTCTGCAACTGCCAAACATCTGTCTGAAACAAAAGGACCAGCATATATAGAAGGGCATTTGTTAGATATAAAAATACTCAACCAGAACTCTGTTCTTGCCTTATTTATGTTATGATCCTGGGAAGATTAGAATGGCTTAATCAGGGGTATTCCTACTTTGGTTTTCAGAACTCTGTGAATCATATCCTGAATTAGTGGTTGTTCTTCTTTGTATATATATTTCTTCATAATTTTTTAACACATACACACACACATATATTTCAATAATTTTGTTAAATGTTACAAATACATTACAATACAAATGAAAACTAATAAAAAGTAAAAGCGCAGAAAGGAAAAGAACAGAAAGAAAAATAAAAAAGGAACAATAAGGATATAGTAAAGAAAAAGAAAATAAATATATAAAGAACTTCCCCTTTGTCACAACTATAAGCAATTTTAGTAATTTATCACCTTTTCCTAAAATACAACAAATGATCTCCTTTCCCTATATTTTAACTCTTATCTGTAAACAAATCTGTAAAATATTGTTATTTCAGTCCTGGTCAGCAGAAGTTCATTAAGAGTTAACAGAGATAGCAATGAATCTATTTTAACCTTGATCAAATACACTAACTTTATATTTCTTTACTTTTAACAGTCTTAGTCTTTGATCCCTTCAAATGATGTCCTAGAACTTTATTTCTTTTTTTCTTTGTCACTTCTCACAAATATCTTCAACATTTTAACAAAACCAAATCAATATAGGAAGGTTAGCCAAGTCACTCTTCTAGCTTGTTATTTCTATGTCCTTTTAATTATTAAGACATCAACAGGTTTCATTTGTATATTCAATATACCCTATTTTCCCAGATCATTCTTTTAGCCTGGATTTGTAAATCCACATTCAAATAAATTTCAGTATTGTTTGGTAGAATTTCTTCCATAACATCATATACGCAGTCTATCTGTACTGGCAGAGATTTTTAAAATTAGTTTCTGAGTCCATTGTTTACAAATGTCTTTCAACATGTCCAATATTAAAATATTTTACTCCATTCTATGTTAGGAAATTGAGTTTAATGTACTTCTCCTTTAATTGTATTAGTTTCTTCCTATTTTCTCTGATGTACAACTTTTAAAGCCCTATCTTATCATTTGTTCAGAATTCAAAACAGTTATTTGGAAGGATTCTTACAAATAATTTCAAAATCTTATTTCAAATCGATATGATCCTCAGGCATTTATAACTTTCTAAAACAACACCATGCTCATTCTTTTTTAGTTTATTCCCCCTTAAAATCATACCTAAAACATTTTGTCCCACCAATGTCTATATATGCACACAGCATATAATGTATACGTCATAATATATAATAATATAAGCACATTTTCCCAACTGAATTGACCTAATCTTTTAAAGCTATCAAAATCCACCACCATGACTTCATTTCTCATTCTGTCATAGTCTAGCAAAAATCGAATGATATTTCTTGCAACTTCAATAATCAGCCTCATGCATAAAGGCATCGCTCAGACTGAAAAAAATCTGAGAATAACTTATAAAAATTGATCTTTGAAAACATGAAGTCTATATGGGTGTCCACTGTTAATATATATATACTGATGACATACAAATTGTATAGAACTTTGGGAAATAATAAAAATAACAGAAGAGAAACAATTCATTCATAGAATGGAAGTGTATGACTGGCCCAAACGGCAGCCATTCATCTGAACCTTCAGGACTAACCTAAAAGGTTGTGGTTAAGCATTAGTAATAGGGAGCCTTGCCAGATAAACGCCGGTAAGAATTCAGCACAGTATAATCGTCACCAAGGCAGCAGCATTACCTGTTGCCAAATGCATCACAATAGAAGTGGCATCTGTTGGAAAATAGATTCATAGATTTCACTTCATTTTTAGCCAGACTATCCAAATTGTACCTGGTGGGAACTATAAACATGTTCAGTATTTTCCCCATCCGATTGCCAGACCTGCCTTTATGACTATCCTAGTTTCCCTAGAAACGAGAGGACGGGGCGGATGCGCAAACTTTTAAAACTGCACCGGGCACTCGCCAATGGGGGGAGGGGGGAGAACGGGCACCAGTTTTGGCCAGCAGAGCGAAAGCAACTTTGCTCGCCCGAGAAAGCCGGAAGGGAAGGCTAGCATAAGCTGCATTTTCCGTCCTTTCTTTGCTTCTCGAAAAGTTACAAGCGGGGAGAAATTCTCCAGATTGTTTCAAGCTGGCGATTGTTGGCTTCTCTCTGCCTCGTTTCATCCGGCTGGGTTGTGTAGTCGAGGGAAGCCTCAGCTCTGCCGCTAACGACCAATGTTCGTGCCTGGGGTCAACAACTGCCCTCGTCTCCCTCCCGCATTGTCACCCGCAGCTCCATAGCAACCCAGCTTCGCTGTGAGACCACACAAACTAGGCTAAGTGCCAAGTGCAAACTCTTGGCAAGTCTTGTGCGCTCAAAATTCGGCTTGAAGTTCGCCGCAGGCAGCCTCTTCAACGGGCCCAACGGAGGAGTGTTGTGCTTTCCCCTTTCCCCCGCGCTCGCCGGAGAAGAATGAGGCTTTAACTCAACTCGGGGAGTGGGCGGGGGGGACAGCAGGGCTTCTGCAGAGCCCGGGCGCGCGTCCGCACCATGCGAGAGAAGAGGCTCACCACCGGTAGGTGCCAGAACTGAGAGGCAGCCCGGGGCTTGCTCATCGTGATCCGGAGAGGGTGGGAGAGAAGCGGACGCTGGAAAATGTCAGATCGATCCTCCCCCTTCTCCCCCAGCGTTATTCCACTGTTCTAAGGAAGGACGCGATCAGAAATGATAGTAGTCAGAAATATTTTTTTTTTTTTACCATAAGTATCATTTGTGGACAGTAAAAACATAGAAGTCCTGATCTGCTCTTTTTCAAACACTACTCAGATTAATTTTGGGGTATCTTCATTTGCAATTCCTGGGTAAAAGTAAAATTGATCCCCGTCAAACCATTCCGTTTTTCATGAATAATATTCGATTATTTCCAACTGATAAAGCAGTGGTTCTCAACCTTTTTAATGCCGCGGCCCCCAACCGGTCATAAGTCGAGGACTGAACCTGTCGTAAGTTGAAGACTAAACCGGTTGTAAGTCAAGGACTACCCAACAGGTCGTAAGTCGAGGACTTTCCCTGCCCGGGAGCGCCGCGCATGCGTGGTGCCGCCCCCTGTGCCAGCCAAGGTGTAGCTGGCAAGCAGCAGAGACGGAGCAGGCCAACCACCTGCTGGGCCACCAGCTGGCCCAGGCCAAGGGAGGTAAGGCACCCGCCGGAAAAGGGGAAAAAAATGGCGGACAGCCTTGCTTGGCGATCCCTGTGAAATGGTCAATCGACCCCAAATGGGGTCCCGACCCATAGGTTGAGAACCGCTGTGATAAAGTCTCTAGTGAGTTGTGCTTGACCGAGCAGTTTTCCTAGCAGCTGTATGGTTTGCCATTGGCTTCTTCCGGGAAGATTTAAGCCTATCAGCCCTGGGATCTTGTGCTGGTCTTCCACTGAAACCCTGCTCAGCTTCGTCAGGGTCAGTTAAGATTGGCTAGTTGATGACCCAGTGGTGGCAAATGGTTGTATAAATACAGAATCAGGTTCACAGCAAAAAGTCCTAATGAAACAAAATAACACTTACCTACTCCTTCCGGGGTAGGTAAAATGAGGACCCAGATTGTTGGGGGCAATGTATATATATATATACATTGCTTACTGGTGTACACCGCTTAGAGAATGATTGCACTTAAAAAGTGGTATATAAGTCTCATAAATAAATAAATAAACACAATCTAAGAATGAAGTAGCTCTCATTTCATTGAAATAAATGGAAGTTTAACTCTGGTTAGTTTTGAGTTGGGCTTTTGCACTCTAATTGAATACTTTTAAACATGGATATACCATTTTTATAAATGTGCATTAACAAGCTTTACTGTGTTCTCCTTGCTTACAAGGGCAAAGGATTGTGGTTTCCATTCTATATATGGAACACTGAGCAGGGAAGATTATGACACATCACCAATCTCACTATTGAGACAGGGACAAAAGTGAGGAACCTGCTCTTTCTATAATCCTGCTTCTTTCACATTAGCTATGTTGACTGGGGCTATATAAAGAACTGTTGTTAAGTAACATACAGAACATATAGATGATACCCCATCACCAACCAAAGGTTTCTAGATTCAAGTTCGTTGTTTTTCTCTGCTGAAGCATTTAACTCTCAGAAGTACTTCTGACATTTGCTTAGAAATTTAACTCTATGAACTCAAAATCTATTACTCCTCACTGAAAGCTGATTCAGCAAGCCATAGCGAATAGAGTAGAGTAGAGTAGAGTAGAGTAGAGTAGAGTAGAGTAGAGTAGAATAGAATAGAATAGAATAGAATAGAATAGAATAGAATAGAATAGAATAGAATAGAATAGAATAGAATAGAAGGAGGTCTTGGAGGTCTTGGAGATCTTCTAGTCCAGCCCCCTGCTCAAGCAAGAAAACCTATACCATTTCAGACAAGTCTCTTCTTAAAAACCTCCAGTGATGGAGCGCCCATGATTTCTGAAGGCAAGCTGTTCCACTGGTTAATTGTCTTCACTGTCAGGAAGTTTCTCCTTAATTCCAGGTTGCTTCTCTCTTTGGTCAGTTTCTAACCATTGTTTCTTGTCCTGCCCTCTGGTGCTTTGGAGAATAGTTTGATGCCCTCTTCTTGTGGCAGACCATCAAATACTGGAATATTGCTTCAAATACTGGAATACTGCTATATAGCTAATGTCCAGGGACACTTCATTCTGAAACACCAATTTAGTCTGACACAGAAGTCATTTCTCTGACATCTGTCTTACAAAATTAGAATTTAGAAAATGAGATACTTTAAAAATATTAGAACTTATTACAGAATTACCAGTGGACTCAGAGAAATAATCAGAATTGTTCTTGTTCTTCTTTCTACATATTTTAAAGCTTATCACAAGTTTAAAATATGTAGAAATTGAGAGATGAAATGTTTTATCAACCTAATAATAACTTGCTAAAAACTGACCAACAAGCTTTTTTTATGTAGGAAAGGAACCATTTAAAAATTGGCTTTCTTCTTGCCTAATGGCAAACATACACATTCTAAACATGTTGAAAATATCCTATATGCTGGCATGAATATTTTAAAATGAATAGACCTCATAAAGAGATCTGTCTCACAAAATTCCTTACTATTTTGCTTGCTTGCATTTAATAGGCAAGTAAAATAGTATTTTTTCAAGGAAGGAACTATCTGGATATATGATTTATTTTCTTATTGCTGTTTCTAGTTGTGTGAACAGGGTCTTATGATCTGTGTATTGATCTTGGGAATGGGGTTTATGATTACTTTTACTGATAACTGATTTTGCTGTAACTGATAAAATGAACAATAATTTATTTGTCTGAATAACTTTAATAACTTCATAATTGGTCCAGGGAACTTTCATTATTAGCTATATGATACATTGTTAATACTATTTTTGTTTATTTTTCAGTGCCTCCCTGCATAAGAGAGAATGAATTAGTAAGTAAACTGTTTTTCCTGTTTCACTGCAAATTGTTGAAAATAGTAATTTAGTTACTCTAGTATTTGACATATTTTCAGATAGAGCAGCTATGTTGCTAGCAGTATAACTGACATTTAAATCTTCCCTGCCCTTTATTTATAATTATTCATTCAGTTACAACAATCAATCCCTAGTATCTGACATGCATTTTTTGCAGAGATAAGAGTCTTAAATGTGATCTTGATTCTATCTCTCTGTTTATGCAACCATGTTATTATGCAACCATGCTATTGATGGCAGAACATTAAAACATTCTGAATCAGAAATAAGTTCCATCAAATCAAATGCTTTTCATTCCATAGAAACTGAATATTATTGAAGACAGACATATTTAATAATTTGAAAAAGAATGCAATGGAAGCATTAATCTGGAAAGCATAGAGGCCTCTCTCCAAAATCTTTCCTCTTACTTCAAACATCCTTTGCAGAAGGAGTGAGAAACAATCACATGGAGCAGTGATTCTCAATCTTGGCAACTTTAAGGTGTGTGGACCTTCAACTCTCAGAATCCCAATCCAGCATACTGGCTGGAGAATTCTGGGATATGTTAAAGATGTCAAGATTGACAAGCATTGGAATCAGTGGTGGGATTCAGATATGTGAACAACCGGTTCTCTGTGTGGATGCTGCTTCCGGAAGTCTATTCTGGGCCTGGGCAACAAAAAATTAGCTACCGGTTCTGCCGAACTAGTGCGAACTAGCTGAATCCCACCATTGATATGCAACTTCTTCCATAGATGAGTTGCAGGAAAAGGCAGGGAAACCACCATCTTCTATCTCTTCCTGCCTGAATGACCATTTTTCATCTGCACCTTTCCAATTCTTTCACAGATTCTGATATAGGAAGAATAGGGAGGGCCAAGTTGGGCCTTTAAAGAAAGGAATCACTTCAGAGAAAGGAATATGGTTTTCCTTCCCTAAAGGCCTTACCATTTCCATAATTCAGCCTGCTACATGCTCTAAAATCTCTGTTTAGAAGTCAAATTAAGCAGGAAGTTATAAACAAAATAGGAAAGAATTAAGTGGATTGAAGCTTTTTTTTCAAGCCTTTCCCCATTAAGCAGTGGATAGTGCTCTCTGCCCATTCTTGAGTCAATAAAAAGCTATACAAGTATGAAACCAGTGCTGATCCACAAACCTGTATTGCCTCTGTCACTTGTGCTCCCTGTCCCTGCCAGTCCCGGATTGACCTTCAAGGTACAAAACCTAGCAGGTGTGACACAATTTGAGGCTACTCTCAGAATAAGAGAGTATTTTAATACCAGTACAGCTTAGGCCAACTTGAACCCAGTTCACTTTGAGGACAGAGAAAGGCAATGCCATAGGGACACAGGAGAAAAATAGAGATGGTTTGATGCAGATGGGGACATTATTTTGGTTATTTTTTCAAAAAACAACTGACTGAAGAAGCTGAAGAAGCTTCTTGAAAAAGGACTTTTGGGACAACCATGAGTTTCAATGTGGAGAAAAGCAAAGTTTTACATTTATGCAGGAAAAATCAAAGGCACAAGTACAGACTGAGTGAGACCTGGCTTAAAAACAGAAACTGTGAGAGGGACCTTGGAGTCCTAGTGGACAATCACTTGAATATGAGCCAGCAGTGTGCAGCAGCAGCCAAAAAAGCTAATACAGTCCTGGGTTGTATAAACAGAGGCATAGAATCAAGATCACGCTAAGTATTAGTACCGCTTTATAAAACCCTAGTAAGACCACACCTGGAATACTGCAGCCAATTTTGGTCACCATATCACAAAAAAGATGTTGAGAGTCTGGAAAAAATTCAGAGAAGAGCAACTAAGATGATCAAAGACCTGGAAACTAAAACATATGAAGAATGGCTGCAGGACTTGGGTCTGACTAGTCTAAAGAAAAGAAGAAATAGGGGAGACATGATAGCAGTTTTCCAGTACAGGCTGCCACAGAGAAGAGGGGGATCACATTATTTACCAAAACACCAGGGGGCAGGACAAGAAACAATGGTTGGAAACTGATCAAAGAGAAAAGCAACCTGGAATTAAGGAGAAACTTCCTGACAGGACAGTTAACCAGTGGAACAGCTTGCCTTCAGAAATCGCGCTCCATAACTGGAGATTTTAAAGAGTAGGCTGGACAATCACTTGTCTGAGATGATATGGGTTCTCCTGCTTGAGCGTGGGGTTGGACTAGAACAGGGGTGTCAAACTGCCGGCCCGTGGGCCGGACGCCTCATCCCAAAACTGCACCCACCCCATTGCTGGCAATGGAGAAAAAGCTCCGATATGTCGCGTGACATCACATGACGTCGCAAGTTTGACATGCCTGGACTAGAAGACCTCCAAGGTCCCTTCCAGGTCCCTTCCAGGTCCCTTCCAGGTCTATTCTATTCTATTCTATTCTATTCTATTCTATTCTATTCTATTCTATTCTATTCTATTCTATTCTATTCTATTCTATTCTATTCCTGCCCTATCATTTCATCTTCATTCAAGAATGTGCTTCTTTTTGCCCTGACAAAGTATGCATTATTTAGGACCAAATAATTTGACCTTATTTCTAGAACAAGTTTAGTTCAGTTTGGCTCTGCCTATAGGAGGCAATCTGGAATTGAAGAAAAATGTACTGAATTGTCAAAGTAGGTGAGTTACTTGATTATAAATCAGCACACAACTTTCTGGCAGAGGTTTGCATTCTAGCTGGCAGCCAAGTTAAGATTTATACATGATTATCAGGATACTAAGAGTGAGCAAATCAATTTTGTGGAAGAAATATCTGTTACTGTACAATACCATCCATCCCTTACAAGGAACAAGAAAAAGCTTAATATATTTTACATATAATTTTAAAGATAAAAGTGAAAAATTTTAGGCAGTGGTATTACTGCAGTATCATATGTTCACAAAAACATTGTTTTCATTATCTGAAGTTAAAATATACTCCTTTTATTTGTTGTAGTAAGTTAAAAATATAGCAACAATTTTACTTAAATCAATTGTGCATCTTTTAAGAGCAGCTAGATTGTTATATACAAAATAGTGGGGAAACAGAAATAGTAGAGAAATAAGTGCTTCTTTGAATATTTGGGAAAATAAACAGCTCTACTAAATCTAATAGTGTTCAAGAAAGCACAAGAATGTTGAAAATCTAAGAAATCCAATTGTAGTGCAATATATAGCTACATAAATAGATAGAGGATTACAGCCCAAGACTTATATGCATAAATGGATTACAGGTAGTCCTTGACTTAGGTCACAATTCAGTCCAAAATTTCTATTGTTAAGCAAGACAATTGTTAAATGAATTTGCCCCATATTACGACCTTTCTTGCAACAGTTGTTAAGTGAATCACTGCAGTTGTTAAGTTAGTAACATGGTTTTAAGTGAATCTGGTTCCCTATTGACTTCACTTTCAGGAGGTTACAAAAAGTGATCATATGACCCTGGGACATTGCAACCATTATAAATACATGCCAGTTGCCAAATGTCTGAGTTTTGATCATGTGACTATGGCAATATGCAAAGGTCATAAGTGTGAAAAAAGGTCATAAGTCACTCTTTTCAGTGCCCTTGTAACTTCAAACAGCCACTAAATGAACGGTTGTGAGTCAAAGACTATTATATGTCCAAAGGACTACATGATTATGTATCTTTTTGTTAACTGGACATTAATGAAACAGAAGCTGATATTTCCACAGCTAGCACTGAAAACAAATTAGGGTTTCCAAAGATTTAAAACCAGTAGAGTTGACTATGAAATATGTCTCACAGGCTGGTTAAATATGTCTCTCCATCATGCTGGCTGAAGAATTCTGGGAATTGAAGTCCACACATCCTACAGTTGCCAAGATTGAGAAATACTGCCTAGTGGAAAATTACTTATAAGCAAGAAATATATTTTCTAAATCAAAAACTGTGGAGTGGAATCAATGCTTAGGCTGTGCAAATGTCTTACTTTAGATGCATGTATGTAGAGTATATGAGTTTTTGCCTTGTAGAGGAAAACTAAAGAACCTTGAGGTGGGGCAAGCAATAAAAACCAGCTGCCCTTGATTGCACTGACTCCTCTACATGTATAATTGCTAACGGGGGCCATCTTTATACAGATTTCTCTCTCCTCACATATTCACAATGCTACTACTGTCTGAACATTTCCATCTAAGAACCATACAGAAAATAGGAAAAGCATGAACAGGATTTCTTTCTTTAATGGGAAAGAGATTCATGGCTGGCTCTTATCATGGGAAAGGTATTTTTCCTGCATTGTTATTCCTGATAATATCTCACCAAAATTGCTGTTGACACTACAACAACACATATGCATAGCACCAATATGAACGTGTTGTATATTCAGTAAAGCTGGGGAGGATCTTCTGTTGCAAAAATCCAAATATTCACTAGATGGCAGTAACTGGTTTATAATTTCTGTTTCTTTATACTGCCATCTATTGGTTATCTGTTTTTCTGAAGCTCAGATTTGTATCCTTATCAAATACAGTACATACATTTTTAACAATATTCGTTATTCAGTGAATGTTGAATATTCAATTATTATTCAATAATAATTTTCATAAAATTTAACATTTTAAGAATAAACATTTGGCTGCCAATTCATTGTGTTAAATATGAAATGTGGACTTTTTTCTGCCTTGAGATTTATTCTGAGATTTGCTTACCTAGAATTTACATTATTCTGAAGCTAGTACTATTACAAAGGGAATCATAAAAGTAGATTAAATATTAGAATACTAAAATAAAATTGTAAAGGTTTTTAAAAGATTAAAAATAAAATTACAAACCACTTCTGAAAAAAATCTTGCCAAGAAAACCAGGGATTTTTCCAGGCACTTGCCAGGAGTCAGTTTTGACTCAAAAGCACATACACACCCACACAATTTTGACAGCTATATGAACAATGTCATAAAATTGAAAAGGTTCACAATTGGTATTTTCAGTAACATGGGCAAATAACACATAGATGTCTGCATATTTTCTCCAGCTTTGAATTCCCTAACTAATAGAGGTTTTGTTTTCTATGGACTACTTGGGCCAGTAAAGCCATTAACATTCTTCTTTATTTGTCATATCCTGTCATTTACAGTGTTGTCATCAGCCCTATGACTGATGAAATGTGAAATATGCTGCAGGAGACAATAACCTGTTTTTAATAACATTTTTCACGCAAAGTCTTCGAAATACTAAGACTAAGTGCACTGCCAACAGGAGGCTTCTAATTCATTTGAAAGGTGCTACTGCTCACTCCCCATTAATTTTAGAGGTTTGCTAAGATTTGTCCTCTTCCAAATCACTACCTAATGCAAAAGGACTTAATTTACATTGGAGATGTCAGAGTCATGTTGAGGAAGGATGGCTGTTGTACCTAAGTCTCATCTTAAATATCCTTAAGTTGGTAACCAAATTGGAAATGGAAAGCTGAACAGGTAAAGTTCATAAAGTTACAAAACCAATGTATCCCAAAACATAAAACTTAAGGGAAATGTAGCTGAAGCTGCCAATACAGGAGATGAATCCAAATATATTACCACTCCAGATGTTTTGATGTTCAGCTCCCTTTATTCCCCAGCCAACGTACTCAACCTGGGGGCACAGCTGGATGTAATATAATGGAATATAATCTTCCTATGATAAAGATTCCAATATCCTTAACGGGAAGAGTAATGATTTACTTGCACTGGAATTAGGCTGGCTTGAGAACGATTCTTCTGCTTCTCCATTGGGAAAGTACCATTAGTTAGGGATGGTTATTTGTAAAAGGTCAGGCAACAAACGATAGAGAAGGCCTTGGCTTAGGGCTCCAGTCAGCTGAAGAATCTACCAGTTTAGCTGAATATTATTAATTAGTCTGGCAATGCTCATCTAGGTGGACCATAATCTGACCTGACATGAACCAGAATCTGATTCTGCAGGAATGCTGGAAACTCTTAATTACTTCTAGAATAAGAAGAACTGTTCTTATTCCAACACATTACATCATATCACATGTTTTTGTCTTTCTCTGTTCTTACAGGAAGAGTATTTAGCCACTGACAACATACTTGTAGATTTCTTCAATGAATTTTTGAGTCTCCCAGTAAGTATGATATATTTTGCTGAAACACGTATTCATTATAGTTACCCCAATAAAATTGGTTGAATTGATTGTTACAATATATACTTATATATACAATATATGTCATACAATATATTCTGGCCTACTTACCAAGCCCCTCTTGCTTGCCTGCCCATCATCGTAGATCCTAAACCATGTTCCCAAAGTATCAGTACATACAGTGGAAGCCTTACAGGAAACTCCCTCAGAAAAATGTTGTATAGTAATTATCATGCTGGAAACAAATGTGTTAGTTAAGACAACAGTGCTGCAATGAATGGAAAAGCCAAAACTAACTGTTGCTCTTTTAAGAATATCTGCTGAGAATTCTTGACCTAATCATCACTAGATTTTCTCAGGAAAGTTTGCCCTATTCAACTTTGATATGGAATGTCTAATACGTCCAGTTTTATTTTGCTGAAGCTCATCATAGAAATTATTTAGGATAACGCCAGTGAAAACTTATTACAGTTTGGTTCTTTAACTTTGTTATGTTTATGTGACTGATACCTGGAAACAGAATCCAGGCATAATAATTGGTTTATAGGCAAAAGGTTAAAGTAAAAATATTTCATACTATTAATTGTTCACCCTACTGCAAGAAAATCTTTCAGAAAAAGAAATGTTTCTGATGTATTGCAATGTTGGAAATCATCGTGCAAACTGGCACTTTTGTTTTATGCAGCCAACCAATGGATGGTCTACTACTAAGCTACAGAAGTAGCCCTTAAATACTTCTTTGTTATGAATTATATCAAATGACGACACTTGAATTTTATTTTTGAGAACTCCAGTAAAAACTGACCAAATTCATATATCTTTGGCTAATGTGCTGATTGGAACCATTCAGATTTCTCAGCTCAGAAGTTATCATTTCCATTTTAATATATCCTCCATTCATTTTCGAAATGTGAATTTTAATTAGATTTATAGTATATATCTATGTACATCTGAAATTGTAAATATGTATTTAATATATACATATAATTAGCAATAAAATGTTTTCATTATATACTTCTTTAAAACTCAATGCAGATTAGTCCAGGCACAATATGGAAAGAAACTGATGGGAGACAGAACATACCTAATATAAAATATTTTGTGGTTGGATCAGATCACAGTGTAAATAGCACAGAGTAGACCTTTTCAGGGACAGCACACTGATTCTATAATACAATAGTCTACTACACACACACAATATATATATATATATAAAACTGGCCACCATGCTGTCTTAAAGAAGAACGGAATGCCTACCTGTTCATTTTCTAGCTGTTATAGAAAACAGAATTGTTGATCCAGTTCTTGATGGTTTTGTCCTTTTGTGTACCTCTCTGATCTCTCTCAAGAAGAAGAGCAGCATAGAACTAAATGAATGAATAGGTAAATAGACAAGTAATATGAAATAATACCATAGTATGCTTTTCAGTTTAGTGTCCTTCAGATACCCAAGACTATCACTTCCTCAATCCATGATTATTAGCTGCATTTAGTTGGCCTTGGTGTCAAAGCAATTGTAGGGACTCAAATTGTGGGAATGATCTTAGCATACCTCCAAGCATGTTTAAAATGTTTTTGTATCATCACTATTTGATTAAATGTAGTTTGACTCCTCATATATAGATTAGAGATAGTGGAGTCATTGCTCAAATATTGTACCCTAATTTTTTTACTGCACCTCAGTAATTTGGTCTTTTTGCAACGTTGCTTCTGCCTCTTAACAATCTTATTATCTAAAAGTGGAGCACAGGAATGAACCTGAATGAATCCTAATCACAGCACATGTTGCAGACCTTTCAATATATGTTCTACCAAATATGTGGTGGGATCATATCTGACTAAATCAGAAAATAGTTGGTAACTCATGTTTATTGTATGTACATTTATAATATATTGCTTATTTTATGCACATGCATGAGGTACCACATGGTTTTTTTTTTAAATAAGGAGTAGGTTTTACCAACAAATATTTCCCTCCATCTTGCTATGTTGATTGCAGGTGATTGCAGTTTGCATCAGCTGTACTGAAGGGGAAGAATTGGATTCAATTGATCAACATATGTTCAGAGCTCTGAGATGTCAAATATGACACCTCCCATGCTCCGAGCTTCCTTGCCTAAGTAGGATCGGATTCAGAAAAGTGAAGTCACTTGTTGGATTGAAACATATGCCTTTGGTTAACTTAGTAGTTTGGCCTAGGCTTATTGGCGAAGGCTATTAGTTTTTTCATTCCATCCCTTTATATACATTATAATTGATTGGTAGTCAAGCATCCAAGATGACAATACAGTTTATATTTAAAACATTGTTATTGGCATCTGTTTTATTACATTAGAAGATCCAGATGTTTTCGATTTAATTAATTGGAATGCATTTTGGAAAATGGGTCTTTGGGCTTCATTGCCAGAGCTGAAATTAAAAATAGATACAAGTGATTAATTAATGTTATCCTTGGTTAGTTTTCTATATAAATAACACATAACTAAAATTATCTAGCATCTGTTAAAATAGTTCCAGATTGTAGAATTTACATGCTTTGTTCACATATTCACATAAACTAGCATATCTTCAATGATTTGGAATTAAAAGTTTATTCTTTTTGTTATTTTAATTTGTATTCCCTCCAATTTAAATAAAAACAGAAACTTTGGCTTGACATTAGTGCATTGCATATTTTTTCCCCAAGAAATGTTAGCAATCACAAATTTATGAATAATAACTTTGTTATCTCAAGGCCAATTCAACAAAGAAAGAGCTACTTCAGGCAGCTAACTTAAGCAGTCAGGAAAAGGCAGGAAATTGATAGTTACTTCTTATCACTGTTTTATTTTTTCTGCCAAGATGAATCTATGAGCTTTTTTCTCTCATCAGACAGCAGCACAATGTTGTCAGTTAGCCCTGAATGCTCAGAAAATAGTGGTAAATTCTACCATTTGGGGAAGGTTCAACAGTTTTTAAAGTGTACTTATAGGCACATTTTCTGTAAGCTCCAGGAATGCTAAAAGGTTGCAGTTGTATTTTCCCTTTTTTATGAAAAAAATACTTCAATTACTACAGAATAGGTTAAGTGGTAGGAGCTTGAATGAGCGTAATAACTGTGAACATGCATTAATTTCTCTGTTCCTCTACTGAATGGCATTAATAATGAATATGTTAATTTTTTATAGGCAGAAATCACTGTTCCAGAAAGTTAGAAAAACAAAGCCCAGGGCTATAAAAATATAGTTAAGAGGGGGAAACCCTCTAAAATTAAACTATCAGATAGTTTAAGAGGAATACAAGCAGGCCATCAGTTTATTTATAAAATGCATGATTAGATTATATCTCTTCAGTGTTGTGCTATTTCTGAATCCTAATCTTTCACTTTTCATGTTTAACAGACATTTGCAGAACCAATTCAATTTAATTCTGATTTTGGAATTTTTGAAGTTGCTAGTGATGTCCCACAGTGCATGGAAAACCAGCTAAAACAAATGCTTCGGGAACAGAAACCTCGAAATCCAATTTATGATGTTACAAGGCAGACAAAGATACAAACCTCTTTTTCTAAAGATATTAGCACTCCCCCTTCCTCAGCCTTCAGTTTTAATCCAAACTATTCAACCATGGTAAGAATAAATTGGAGTTATTATTCTGCCTTTAAGAAGCAGTCATGGAAATATGATATACAACCAACTCTGAAATCTTGCTGTATTAATTGGGGTTCCATATTTAATTAATCAGATTGATGTTAAAAACTTTTGATCTTGCAATGATTTTTCTGATTATACCAGGTGTTTAAAAAGTTGCTAGGTTTCAAGAGTATTGACTTTCCTAGAAGTATAGCTCCTTCAAAAGGAGTAATTAAAACTTAATCCACATTTATAGCCATCCTGGGAAGAAAGTTGTATGGAATGTCAGTGAGTAGGGATCCACTCCCGTTCCCACCCTGACTTCTGTGAGTAAATCTAAAAGTCTGAGTTTATATGTTTGCCAATAACATCTGATTATAAGCCTTGATGATGTCATGCATTGTGATATCCTTGATGCAGATTACATATTTTGTGTAATTTGCACTATATTGTTGTCGTATATGTGACATTGTCTGGTTCTATATATGTCTAACTGTATATTCCATATGTTTTTAAGGACCATGCAATCCTTGGAAACTGCACTCATGTGAAAAGAGCCATTAATAAGTCCTGTGCAAAAAGTTAAATTCAACCATTTGGAATTCTAGCTTGAATTATCTTTAGAATATTTAGGGAACCCAATATGTATTTGTGACATGGGCCATTTCAAATTAAAAATGGGATGATGTGAAGATTGAAAATTGAAACTAAATTTTTTGCACATCATTGACAAAAGAGTATATGTGTGTGGGTGTGTGCGTGTGGGCTTTGTACAAGCATGGAAGTAAAAAAATAATTCTATTTATTAGGACTTTCCTTCCTTCCATTCAAATTTCACATGTGCATGATTTTCACTATCTAAACCAGTGTTTCTCAACTTGGCGGCTTTAAGAAGTGTGGACTTCAAACCCAGAATTCTGCAGCCTGCCTACTGGCTGGGGAATTCTGCTAGCTGAAATCCATACTTAGAGACTGAAAGACACCAATGTTGAGCAATACTGAGCTAAACAATTATCACTGCCTTTCTTAGCTCCTGATGTCTTGGATCTGCAGTTCTCAGCATTTTCGGCTAATCTAGTCAAATCATTGCTAGAACTCCTGAAAACTGTAATTGCAAAACATTTAATAACGCCAGGTTTGGGAATATTGAACTATAACAACAAAAATATTCATAGTGCAATCCTAAATGAAGAATAATGAATACAATATAGGAGTCAATATAACTTTCCTTTATAAAAGTGACAAGATATCTTGGAAGCTGTTTCCACTAATATGAGAAATATGATTTTGGCATGTCTTATTTTCTCATGGATATGGAGACAAAAGCATGGAATTTGTTTTGAGCATAAATAAGTACAAATGTATTTGATTACATCCAGAAATACTGGCTAAAGTAAAGAAGCCATGTTCAGCCTTTCCAGAAATCATTATCAGTAAGCCACAAGAGGAAAGACAACTTCTAGCAAGACAGAAACAATTTTATGCTACTCTATCAAAATGCATTTTATGGCAGGATCAGAATGTTTATGTCCCAGGATGCCAGAGGATATCATTCCAGTACAATTCCATAAAAATGAATTCTAAGAAACAGGTCTTTTTTCAGATTCCATCGTTTGCTTAGGGAGCATTGTTTTGCTCAGGGAATGAATCCTGACAAACAATCTTTCTTACTGTGGGATTCTTGATGCTCTCTGACCTTGGATATTTTCTTGCAGACATTTCATTACCCGACTAGATAACATCATCAGTGTTACTGATAATGTTACACTGATGATTTTCCTTAGTTGGGAAACGTCAGCAAAAAAACAACCAAGCTTGAGAGCACCAAGCACCCCTGAGCTATAAGTATTCTCTTTTATACGTACACATATGGGCATCAAACGCTTCAGACAGCATGCAAATAGGATAAAATTGCATTTAGGCAAGCCTCAGCCAAACAACAAGTATTTTTTTCTGCATGAATGCCTCCTGGAGCATGGTCTGCCCAACAGTGTCAGATACAAATCTTCAATTAACTGCACAGCTTGATAGAAGTAGCCAGTGCTTTTTTCTAAAAAAAAAAAAAAAAGGTGCCGGAACTCACACACATCATACAACCCGCCTTGTTGTATGACAAAAAAGGTGCCGGAGCTCCGTTCTGGGCGTTCTATGAGAAAAAAAGCCCTGGAAGTAGCATTAATGATGTTACCTAGTTGAGTAATGAAATATCTTGTGTGTATGTTTCTACGATCCACTGAGCTCCTATAAAGAGTTTGGAAATTATTGGATTATACCATCCTGTTTGTTAATAATACAGGAAATAAAACTTAAAGAACATATTTTCTTTTGTTAGAGTCTGAACCGAGAACAAGCTATTGAATGGATTAAAAAGAAAAGATTTCCAGCATTTTTAGAGAGTGATTGCTACTTTGAATACAGGTATTTTGACTTCTAATTAGAATCTAAGTTTTAAAGCTGCAAGTTTCTCTCAAAAACAGCAACAAAAATTGGATTTTTTTAGCCAAACATATATAATTTTAATGGCTTATGAGAATAATAGCAATGAAACTAACATTATTTTTATAGCTTCTCACTACGTCACTTTTACAAGCAATCATGTGTGACTAAAAAGTCATGGTCTATATTTAAGTATTACTGCGATTAATTTAAGCATTTCTTGCATTATATCTCATTTTACCACATTTTTACCTCATTTGGTAAGTATATTAATATATCTGCTATTCTTAAAAATGGAAGTATTGGCAGCATTTAAGGAAGACATAATATAATCCTTTTGTTACAGGAAAAATATTATTGGCATCTTTGTGTCCTTCCCCCCTCCCCCCGCCCATACAACAAGATGCAGTTCAGTGGTGAGAAAAGCACTTAGGCAGGAAAAAACAAATGCATAGGTACAGAATAGGTACAGAATCTGGCTCAATAGCTATAACTGCGAGGCGGATCTAGGTGTCCTTAAGTGAAGCACCATTTAATATGAACCAGCGGTGTTCTGCAGCTGTGAAATAAGTCTATATGAGTTGAGGATCTCATTTTTTAAAAATGAGTGATTCAGCTGTGAGACCATGTGAGGATCAGAACAGGGGTGCCAAACTGCTGTCCTGCGGGCCGGACGTGTCACGACAAAACCACACCCACTCCATTGCCGGCAATGGGGAAAAAGTTCTGATACATCGTGCGATGTCACATGATGTTGCAGGTTTGACCCAGGTTTGACATGTCTGGGTCAGAAGAACTAAGACTGTAGCTTCTTTGCGAATCTGGATCAATTAAACGTAATGTCTTCAGGCTCCACCATAGTAGTACTGACTAGCTGTAAGGGCTGAAGCTGATGAGGATCCAATGCAGCTCAGGGCAGAGAGAGAAAGAAATAGTGTAACTCTTGAACAAGTGCATTACAATTGACAAGGCTTGAAAAAGAATGGCAAAGAGTCCATTAACCTGAAAAAGCTGGAAGAAAGACTCTTGAAGTTTCTACTGCTAGTTCCTAAACACAGGAGTGACTTTCTTGACAGATTTCCAGATGAACCTAATCTGAAGTCTGCTGATACCCTTCAAAACATTTAAACTCTGAATAGCATTAAATTATAGACATAATGAATTAAGACAATGTCTTTGAGGTTTTGGTTTTTTTAACAGAGCAGTAGTTTTGTTGATGTTAATATTATCTGGGTAACCTTAAATTACTTTATGCTATTTGTCACTTCCCTGTAGATTAGCTAAACTTATTTCACAGGTGGAATGGAGCAAAACTGGGATCAGTTTTGTTATAGACAAAACCTATTATCCTTGGTTCTCAAAAAGTCCACCCTCCATAGAAAGCCCTGAGGAAAATGAAGATGACTTGATTATGAAAAGGTTCTACGTTTCTCTTGGCCAGGTAAAATACACTGAGTGTTATAAATAAGAGTATCCTGTGTAGAATAAAGTAAAAGTGGGAGGTTTATTTCCCTCTGGTTCAAGTCGATGTGTTACCCATCAGGATGACAACTAGAAGATATTACAGTCTCCCATATGAAAATCATATGTTCCAACAAAGTGGTTGAATCTATATCTCACATCTTACTAAAATGCCCACTTTCATCCACATTCGTTATCGGAATTTATAACCCCAAATTATTAGGAACTTTAATTTCCCTCATCATATGAGGAGATCAGTATGTTTGGATGTTCCAAGGATCATCATGTTCCAAGGGCAGCAGCAAAAGTTCTGTCTGTAGCATTAGCCTATAAATTTCTTATAGTGGACTGGTGCCACCTTCTTGGATTTGGCTGACTTGATTTTATGTCATTTTTAAGCATACATTTTCATTGTTGTGTATGTTTTAATGTATGTCTCAGATTGCAGAGCAGTAAATAAGATATTATTTTTTAAAATAAAAAATGAAATGTAGAGGGGCATGGAATATAAATGTATCCTTCTTAATATTCCCATTTTCTCACTAGTTGATGCCTTCCATTTATTTTATTCATGTTATCATCCTAAAGAAATATGTTAAGATGAGAGAGAATGACTGGCCTATCCTTACCTGAGGATTTCCTAGCTGAATAGAGTTTTGAATTAAGGTTTCCTCAGTCTAGCACACTACTAAAGTAGAAAACTTAGAGGAGACATGTCAAACACAAGGCCTGGGGACTGGATGCGGCCCGCAAAGCCATCCTGGAAACAGTGAGGGAACGGCCCCCACTACCCTGGCCCTGCCCAGGCTGGCTGGCCGGCCGGGAGCCAATGTACAATTTTGTGGTGGCCATCTATGCTGAAACACATTCAGTCTCCCTCTGACTTTGCCCTGGTACCCATCATGAACAACCTGGCTAAGGAGAGCAAGCACAGCAGCAGCAGCCTTGAGGAGGTAAGTGCAGCTGGACACTCCTTTGGGAAAGTGGGGCTGAGCTTGGTGCCACGGGTGCTCGAGGGCCAGGCTGGGCATTTGACCTCTGCTGTCCAGGGCTCTGGGCGGCCCACACCATCATCCAGCTACCACGTAGCCTGAAAGGAACAGTGAGGCTCCTCCAGTGGACTATGCCATGGCACTTTCCCTGATCCCACCCCCTTCTGCCAGAGACCCTCAGATCTGTCCCACTCCTGTCCAGGCCCCCAGGCACCATTGACGTGAACAATGTAGATCTGGCCATGCCCACCCAGTAGGACACACCCACTCCCTCCACGCCCACACAGTAGGCCGCACCCACCTTGGCCACACATCCCGCCCCCTGAAGGGCAACTGCAATGCTGATGTGGCCCTCAATGAAATTGAGTTTGAGACCCCTGACTTAGAGGAACTACAAGTGTTCAGAAGCCTGCCTCCCTCAACGTCTACATGACAAACTTTGAAAAAAGATCTTGTTAAATTCTCACGCCAGGAGGGTATTATAAGGGAGGCAGTTGGAGATCAAAGGACAACCTTCTTTTCCCTAGCTGTCTCCTTCTGCTTCTTCTTTACTTCCTCTTTTACCACTTGGGGCTCTGAGAAATCCCTTGCTGTGCCAACTGTTATTGTGAAAACTGAATCTCTTTTCTAACTTTAACATATCTAGAAGAAGAGGGGGAGAAAAAAGGAACATATGAAAAAGTGAGAAAGGAGAGCACAAAGAATGTGATGGATCAGCACAACTGTAGCCCTGCCCCTTTTGTCCCATCCACTAACAACTGTAGGTTCTCCAGCCATGGAATAGAGTCCCCAAGAGAGCATCCACAAGGGACTGTGTTCTTCAATAAAAAAAAAGTTCATTCCTGCAATAATTCCAAAGTCAACTGGTTTTTACATTGTTATGAAACACAGTTGCTCTTTTTTCTTTTGCTTGGATCCTGGACATTTCAATAACTACACAACAGGGATCTTTTCCAATTAGATCAGATAGCCCTGGAAGGGGAAAAAAAACTATCAGCTTTCATTCTGACTACAGTAAGGCTTTTGGGTTGAATATCAGCTTATTGTGTGCATAAGTGAGATAAAAAATAATAAAACTAATTAAAACATTTTTATTAATAATGAGCAGCAGATTTTTCAGTTTTTGCCTGATAGAAACCATGGCATAAATAGTATTAATTGGTAACTATTTACTGTATTTATGTTTATTTGACTTGATTGGGATATAGTGTGCTTAAATGATTTCCTTACCTTATGTCACATATTCCTTTGTATTTTTGTATCCAACATTTCTCCTTTCAAATCTGCCACTTGTCTTCTCCACTTAATTTATAAATAAACCACCAAATGTTTTATTCAATAGGCTACTGTTACTCAAACCCAGGATTGGTTTACTCTAGCCAAGCAAAGTCAGAACATGATCACTACTGATTCCATTACCCGTCCTGTGACATCTTCTCATGTTCGTTTTTTAACTGATTCTCCAAAGTCAATGTCTATATGTGAAGGTAATATTAACCATTGGAAATTATATGTGAGGGTGGTAGACATGGATGGATGAACAATTGGGTAGCCTTACAAATTAAACCAATCAACCAGTCTATCAGTGTTATTTTTTCCAACTTGTTCTATTTCATCTTTTTATAAAAACTGACATTTTTCTTCTGAGTCCTTCAACCTATTCTCTTTGTCCTTTTCACCACTTTGCAAAAATTTGTTGATCGTCTTTCATGAATTTTTAGGGACAAGTAAGATAAATTCTCCTTAACCACAACTACTATTATTTCTGTGGAGCCTTAATGGAGAACCTTAATCTAGGAAGAAGGCCATAATGTAGTAATTGTTTATAAGGTATGTTGTGCATACCTTACTGATACTAATTGAGAAACCTCCATGGAAACATGCAATTAGAGATAGAATGAGGACAGGGTGAGATGAGAATGCAGATAGCATCAGAGAAGTGAGATGTAGCATCAGGTTTTCTGTTTTTTAGTTTTATCGTGGTTTGTATATATATATATATATATATATATATATATATATATATATATATATATATATATATATATATATATATGTAGGTCTTTGGTTGTTCGGGTTTTCTCCCACGTAAAATTGGAAGTGTCTTGGCGACGTTTCGACGAAGTCCCATTCGTCATCTTCAGGCTGGTGCTTTCAGCTTCGTGCCTCGAGCAGCAGTGTGTGGTCTTGGCTGTTTCTTCCTTTTAACTGCCAGTGGAGGTATGAACTGATTGGGTGGGAGCTTGGCTGTGTTCTGATTGGGTGGAGGTGTGTTCTGATTGGTTAGGGGCTTGGCTGTGCTCTGATTGGCTGGGGGGTTGGCTGTGCTCTGATTGGCTGGGGGGTTGGCTGTGCTCTGATTGGCTGGGGGAGTGTTCTGTTTGGTTGTGCTCAGGTTAGTCTGAGTTGCAGAGGGATTCAAAAGGAGCACGTGCTCCTCGAAGCATGAAGCTAAAAACACCAGCCTGAAGATGACAAATGGGACTTCGTCGAAACGTTGCCAAGACACTTCCAATTTTACGCGGGAGAAAACCCAAATAACCAAAGACCTATATACAAACACCCACGAAAACCTTAGAAAACAAATATTGATTGATGTGTGTGTGTGTGTATGTGTATATATATATATATATATATATATATATATATATATATATATATATATATATATATATATATTCTGTTGGCTGTAGGCCATCCACAGTTGGTCTTTAAGATGGGTGGCTACACAAATGTTTTAAATAAATGAATAAATAAAATTAGTAATTTTATAAATATAAAGAAATAAAGCCTTTTTTAGATGAGCTTGTCCTAATGATTTCATCTTTATAGACACTTTTATGTAATTTGGGGGCAGCAATATGGAAGTAGTTTGGAAAATATAGTTTATTGCAGCAATGATCTATTTATGTATTTATTTTATTTATTGACTTTCTATGCCACCCATCTCACTAATACAGTGACTTTGGACAGCTTACAATATAATAAGGATTAAAAAGTGCAAAAAACAATTCAAATTTAGAATAAAAATTTTAAAATTAAAATAAGAAAATAATGGACAGCCTGGGGAGGAGAATCCTCTCTATCCTGTGAACCACCCTGTTGGGGCCCCAGGCCAAACAGCAGAGCCAAATGTTTAGACTCTTCTGAAAGGTCAGGAGTGTGGGATCAGATCTCACCTCTAATGGGAGAACATTCCGGAATGTGGAGGCCACAGCAGAAAAGGCTCTTCTCCTGGAACCCACCAGCTGAAATTGACTGATGGGCTCCAAAGTAGGCCCTTTCCATTGAAATGAGTGAGGTGGGTTAATTCCAACAGGGCAAGGTGGTTCCTCAGATACCCTGGGTCCATGCCATAAAGGGCCAAAGTAATGACCACCTGGAATTGGACCTGGAAGCAAAGTGGCAACCAGTGCAGCTCGCATCTCACTGGTGTCATATGTTGCATCCAAGCGGTCTCCAGAACTATCTGCACTGCTGTGTTCTGTACCAGTTGTAGCTTATGAATATCCTTCAAGAATAGTCCTATGCAGAGTGTGTTGCAGGAATCCAACTGGGAGATAACTAGGGCCTGAGTGACTATGCACAGGGTCTCACAAAGGATGAAATTGGCACACAACATGAAGTTACGCAAAGAGTCTCCTAGCCATGACTGCCATCTGCTTCGAGCAGGATTTGTGAGTCCAGGAGAACCCCAAATTATGTACTGGGTCTATCTAGAGTAGTGCAACCCCTTCCAGAACTAAGGATGATTAAATCCCCAAATCCCAGGGCCCTTTGAACCCACAGCCCCTCCATCTCACCAGGGACTAGGCCTCTTATCTCTCATCCAAACTCTACAGCCTCCAGGTACCATAATAGGGCAATTACAGTATTACTTGGATCACCAGGGATGGAGATGTAAAGTTGGATATGTTCGGCATATTGATAATACCTCTCACCACATAGCTTTGGACGATGTCACCAGCCTTTCTCCCCTGTAATAGACACATTTCCTTCTCCTACCCATCTATTGTCCTCTTCCTCCCAATTCTTTCCTAACAATGTTATATTGTACATTTATCTTCAGATATAAAGTCTCAAGAACTGTATAGCTCTTCATCCATTGTTAATGCTGGTACTTGCAGTGGTAACTTAGGTAAGTAGTATTTGTGGGCAAGATGCGTTTACAGCAGGAAAGAACAAAATTTGAGGCATTAAGGCAAAATTTAGTCTTGCAGAGCTCCAAAGGATCACAACAGGCATGTCACTCAGAAGACAGAGTCAATTGATTTTGCTCTTTTTTTGTTATTAATTACACCTTAAAACTGGGAATGGGAACGATGTTTTTAGAGACAATTTACCAACTTTAAATCCTCTCCTATGGAGCAACAAACACTACTGAGATCACAATTGGGATGAGGGAATTTTGGGATGTGTTGATGGGTTACAAGAACAATGGTTGGCTTCTCAGAAGACACTTGTTCCCATTCTTAAATGGCAAAAAAATACCAAAAATGAACTAAAATTGTGCTGACCACAGTCATTTTGAAGTTTGAGGAGGGTTGAGGTTGGGACTGGAACCAGGAGAGTTCCGGGAGAAAAAACATTTCTTCCATTCTTAGTCAAAGTTTTGAATTTTGAAAAGCTAAGAAATGGTGCCACCAAAATTTATCTATTTTGCAACAAGATTTAATTAGTATGATTTGGAATGCTAGGTGGCTGCAATAATGCTAGCTTCATTATTACTGGTTTATAAATTCGTGGCAGAAAAACTCTGCTTTTTATTGTACTTGCTCTAAAAATTTAGGGAAATGGTATTTTTGCATTCTTTTATTTACTTACAGAGTACCGAGCATGTCCATATTAATCCCCTGGCTTTCCTTACATGGTGTTCTTTAATTAATCCCTAAGGAATATATGTCATACAAGTCCTTTCATTGTGTTTATTCAGGAGCAGTATAGTAATGTGACGGGAAAATCTTGCAGCTGTAATATAAGCACAGAATTGAAAAAATGAAGTGCAGAGGCTTAAAATTGAGATTAAAAAAACTTTTTTCCCTTGAGAAGATACAATGTTACAAATTTAAGATTTTTATGAGTATTTATGTTTATGGGCCGCATGATTTTTGGTAAATATACAAAGAGGAGCCAAAGGTAAATAAGATGGGATCTTGTATCCACACAGAAGCACTGGCTTCAAACTAACATAGTATGTCACATAGGCTTTGGGTATTTTTGGTCCATACAGGGGCAAAACAGTACCTTTTCCTGTTCATGAAATGGAACTGTTATGTTCCAGGCAAAATTGTGTGCCAGAATAAGTGATGGCAAACTTAACGATATTGGCAGAGGAGGAAGACAGAGGGGAAATATTGGAGACATTGGTTGGTTGGCTTATTGGCTGGTTGGCAGGTAGAATATGCCAGGCTGTGACACCAACAGCATCTGAGAGGGGTGTGGGTGGGGAACTGTTGGAAAGATAGTGGGAAAGTGCCCCTGTATGAGGGGGATGGGAGGTTAAGAAGTTTGATGTATAAATTAAAATAGATAAACAAAATTGTGGGCAGAAAGAACACCAAATATTATGTTCTGGTGGGACTTGCTTGGAGAATAGTGGAAACAACTCACACTTGTCTACTGAACCCGTCTAGACTTTATTTTATCTAAATATTATATCAAAAGTTGACTAGGTTTTGACTCTGCTGAATTGCCTGGCCTGAAACTGTTTGCCCCAAACTCTGGAATATAATGGTTTCTTCTGAGTTCAAAAGAAAATATTGCCCCTGCCCCACTTTAAATTTTTTTTTTTTTGCATACCTCTAGTGTCTAGACATTCTTTTCTTTCACATTCAGGCTGATAAATAAAGTCAGACATATATGATAGGAAACAAATTATGGTGACTTGGTGTAGTTCTTTGCTCTTATTGTAAAACAATATTAATTCAGCTACTCATAGTTAGGTTCCGATTTATAGAAAGGTCTGAGGAAAGAAGCCATTTCTGGACAGTGAAATATGACAATTTTTATATACTTGAATTCATGTTTATGTTAGTATGTTGGTGGTCTTTGGAGGACTGATTTGTGGTTTTCATGCAGGATTTGAATCCAGAGTTAAGAAGAAGCCCAGCTTAACTGATGTCCCACTTCTTCAGAAGATAGAAGCCAGAAGACACAGAGATGAGGGTTATTCTTTGTCACTTCCCGATACTCCTTCACGCACGTTATTAAGAGCTTACTTAGGACAAGACTGGGATCTTACCCCTCAGGAGAGAAAGAGTGAAGACTTCATACAATATCAAGAACTGGCATCTTTTCACACTTTGGATGAGTTTTCTTTCGCCTATGTTCAATATATACTAAAAAACTCCGTTGCAGTAGTCACTGGTCAGCCACCTGAAGACAGTCCTTCTGACATCAATTTCAGTAAAACAACTAGAGTGTTTATATATGAATTAGCAAGTAGTGAAAAATCCATAGAGTCAGTCTTTGAAAAGTCTTCTTTTGTTGATGGAGTGGTTGATGGAACAGTTGATGGAACGGATGTGAAGAGTGACATTTCTGAAAAATCAGAAAAGAACACTGAAACCAGAGCTGCTTGGTGTGCTAGGCACAAGATGTATGACATTGGTAACAGACATGAATTTGAAAGATTTAAAAAATTCATCAGAGGAACTTTGGGAGAAAAATACTGGTGGCTTTGGATAGATATTGAACGACTGAAGGTCCTGAACACTTTTAAAAGGCAGAAAAGGTATTTCCAGATTTTAATATAAAATGAACCTTTGGAGATGAAGATATTGAATAAGCTTAGTTGCTATTTTCATTTTGATTTATGTTTATTTGTCAGATCTTCCTTCTGACAAATTCATTTCCCATAACCACAGCAAATTTGTTTTCCATATTTGTGGCAAAAAAACTACTAAAATCAGGCATGACTCACTTTAATGCCTTGCTTAGCAATGGAATTTTTAGTCCCAACTATGATCATAAGTCAAGGACTACCCAGAAGCAGAAAAGCAAGATAAATATGAAAGATATTCTTAAGTATCAAGCTGGTTATAAAGCATACAAGTTTTCTCTCAGAAGACATCTTATTTGATATTTTAGTAACTAAGGAGTAAGGTAGCATTCCCCAAACTACTGAGTTTGAAATGTATTGGACCTACTTTCCCCTTTTTGTGCTGGATAGAAGTAATTGATGATAATTCCAACTCAGCTTTTGGGAAAGCACTAGGATGGGAAGACTATTATGGCTAAATGTTCCAAATCCTGGCCTTTATTTTGTGAAAAAAGCCATCCCATCTTCTGCTCTATGGAATTCCATTTAAAATGTAAAACAGCTTTAGAGTTGGATGTCTTTTTCTGAATTATTAGCCAGTGTTTATCTGTGCATATATTATGTTAATATTTTCCTTTATTCAAGACAGCTTGATCGGATGAAAAAATTATACCTGGCAAGCAATGGAGATTATTACCTGACCTTTGAAGTTCTTTTCAAGCTCAACCTGGTGGATGGCGATCAATGGAACGTGTATAATTTAAAGTGCATTCAGTCTGAAGTAGTGAAACCTTTGCTTCTTTACTGGTAAAAGGATGAAATATTGGTACATTTAATTAAATTTGATTGCTTTTCTGAACTCTGGAGCTGTTGTGATTGAATGGGGTAGGTGTTGAAATTACACTCTGCCAGCCATTTGTTCTGATTTCCTAAATGGACCACTTAATCTGGGCAGAACAGAATAATAATTTATGATGAGATAAAGAATCTATTCATGATAGCGGTGTCTTAACTGATACAGTCAAAAGCAAATGATTCAGGCAAAACCAATTAAAAGCAGATGTAATTAAACATTCCCAAAGACAATGTGTATATGATCACACAAAAATCATCATGATTAAAAGAGATTTGTCTGAATGTGATGACCTGTTCATCACAGTATTGAACTCTGGCTTTTGTTATGGAAGTAGATCATATATCTTTAAAAAAAAATATTTATAGCTCAGAGTTGAACTGTGAGGTCCTTGGTGGTCTCTGAGCTTGGATGTTTTTTTGCCGACATTTCATGACCCAGGTGGGTTACATCATCTGTATTGATGATGTTATCTAATAGAATAATTAAATATCTGCAAGAAAACAACCAAGCTCAGAGACCACCAAGGACTCTGTAGATCATGTAATTGAATCATCTACATAAATTGCATGTTTGTATCTCATAATGCACTTATTTCATTCTAGTGATGTCATTTATCCATTCAGCTAATGCAAATGCAGCTATTCAGTTGGGAACAGGATGACTTGCCCAAGTGTATTTGTGTATTTCTTTTGAGATATTGACATTGGCTTTCCATGATTTTCCAAGTTTCTTTCAAGATATTACTTCTGATATATAGAGTGCTCAGCCTAGTGAGGGCAGGCTTCAGACTTGAATTCTATAATTAATTAATTAGAGCTAGTTGTAAAATAAAGCCACAAATAAGGTTCATTTGCAGTTTTGCTGTCCAAAAGCCATAAACTGGAATGATCTACATATAGAAGAATAAATTTATATCTGAATTAATGTAGACCAGGGATTCTAGCAGCTCATTTGGTGAAGACTGGGGTATTTTCTTTGCCTAGCAGTTAGAAATCAACATTTCTTATTGAACTATTACATATTAAAGAAAAGAGAGCTAACTTTTTCAGCCCAGGAATTACACTTGCTTTTTGTGTCCTATATGAAGCTGCAGGGGTGTTGCTGGTGACAAAATGATGTCCCAGATTAAGATGGACTGAAAATTTCAGACTCGCTTTTGTACATTTTAGTAGTGGAATTTTAAGGAGTAAAATTGATGCCTGAAACCTTTTCAAAGTTTAAACCATTTGTTCTACTATTTAACTTACAACCTCAAAATTCTTCCACCATCATAAGAAAAAAAGAGTTTCAAAGGGTGCATCTTTGTCTGTGGCTCTAGAGGGTTGGGGTCACAGACCAAAGGCTATCCTCTTATGATCTAGGGATCTGAATAACAGAACAGAATACTAGAATAACAGAATAACAGAACTGGAAGGGACCTTGGAGGGTCTGCTAGCCCTACCCCCTGCTCAACCCCTATTCAACTGTAGAAGCTTCTTGGATGAGAAGCGAAATATTTTCAAAAAAACCCCCCAAAAAGTCCAGTTGCCTTTTGGAAAAGCACCTCTGGAATGTCCAATCTCTTCTTAAAAACCTCCAGTGCTGGAGCACCCACAATTTCTAGGCAAGGCAAGCCGTTCCACTAAATAATTGTTCCTACTGACAGAAAATTTATCTGTCCATAATTCTTTTATTTTCATGATGTTTTTCAAAAGATAGTGTATAAAAAGGATGACAGTGGTTTTTGCTTGATAGATTGAAGGTCTGAGTTCTTACAATTCAAAAATGTAATCTTAAATCTTTAAGAAAAGAGGAATGACACACTTTAGTAGGTAAAAATCTCCATTTGAAGCACAGAACTTGATCTTTCCCACATTTCCTGGGGACTCAACTCTAAAAATATATGTGAAATCCCTCCAGATTCCCCTAGTATTCTGTGGAGGTCTCCTTTATGGAATCAAATGGATGATCTCTAGATTTCTTTTTGATCCAAAGAAATTCCATTTGCTCAGAGGGCGAACACCTCAGACTGAACCTTAGGTTCATCTACAAAATAATTTTAGGCGAATTCTAAAGTCTGATATATTTTATTTTGTGAGTGTTAGAAGCTTGTGGGGCTTTTTTTTGGAAAAGTTTCTGTGTGCTTTAATTTTTCATATAATAATTCTGTTAGTTCTGTTGCCCTATTTTTCTTCTTGCAAAACAATCTATGGGAATCTTTGAAAAAGCTCATAATAATTAAAATAGTTCACATTGTTAGGAATGGACAAAACAGTAGCTTTGCAAGGAAAAGGGAAACAGTTTTATTTCATTAAGTTACAATTTATGTTATTCAGTCTTTTGATGATCTTTTTTTTTTTTTTGCTTTCTTTAAGCCCCCAAATATAAGATCTAACCAGTCTTCCTTTTTTCAGGGGTCCCCGATTTTGTGTCACTCATAAAGCTGCCATTCAGGCCACCGTTACCAAGCTGAAAATCTGGCATGCTCGGCAACAGAAACCACGAATTGATGTGGATCCTTTCCCACAGATGGTGTCCCTGCTACCCCTCAGGCCGAAATCTTGCATGCCAAAAATAACATCTCCATGTTATCAGGTATTGCTTGTTACATTATACAATTGGCAAAAGAAAGAGTGTCTGTCTTACCAATATAAGAAGCACTAAAGGAAAGACTGTATGATTGAAAGGTTGGGCTTTCAAATAAGAGGAGAGTCATAATCAACTTATATAATATAACTTATATATTATTGCGAGACCGCCTACTACCTCATAGTTCCCTTCGTCCGGTTAGATCCCACAGGCTGGGCCTCCTTCAGGTCCCGTCGGCCAAGCAGTGCCATTTGGCGGGGCCGCAGGGAGGGCTTTCTCTGTGATGGCGCCCACGTCTTGGAACTAGCTCCCCCCGGAGATTAGGACCGCTCCCACCCTGTTGGTTTTCCGCAAGCTGCTTAAAACTTGGCTTTTCCGGCAGGCCTGGGGTTTATAAAATCTGACCCCTGGATGAATGTTACTGTATTGTTTGTCTTGTTAAGTTATATTGTGTTTTTATTGTTAGCCGCCCAGAGTCCTGCGGGACTGGGGCGGTCTATAAATTTTAATAAATAAATTTTAATAAATAAATAATGCATATAAGCTATATAATGTAGTGTTGGAATACAATCCTCGACCTATGGCCGTAACTGACACCACTATTTTAATCGTAAATGATGGCAGTCATTAAATGGATCACCATATGACCCTGCTCGATTTCACAATGTTTATTGTGGTGGTTGTTAGCAGAACGCCAGAGTCGTTAAGCAAACCCGTTGCTCTCTATGGATTTTTTTTTTTTTTTTGCCAGAAACTGGAAGTCGTCCTTGGTTTCTGGAAAAAAATGTCATAAACTCTGATCACATGATTGAGGGATTTTGCAAACTGCTATAAATGCAGGCCAATTACTCAGTGCCCAAAATGAAGTCACGTGACTGTGGGGGAGGAGATAGCTATCAGAACTTTGAATCTCTTTTGTAAGTCCCTTTGAACTTTAAATGATTGCTAAGTGATTGGTCATAAGTCAAGGACTACCTGTACCATACCTAGACTGCAAAAATATGGGTGACCACAAGGTGGAATTAGTTCACTTTCTATATCTCTACCACCATATTGTGTGATTTTTTTACTTTTACAGTTTAGATGTGTGCTTAATATAGGTAGTCCTCAACTTACAGTCATGTGATCAGAATTCAGACACTTGGCAACTGGTTCATATTTATGATGGTTGCAGTAATCTGGGATCATGTGATCAATTTTTGCGTCTTTCTAATAAGCAAAGTCAATGGGGAAGCCAGATTCCCTTCACAACCATATTACTATCTTAACGACTGCAATGAATCACTTAACAGTTGTGGCAAGAAAGATCATAAAATGGGGCAGAACTCACTTAACAAATGTTTCATTTAGAAACATAAATGTTGGGCTCAATTGTGGTTGTACGTCGAGGACTACCTGTATAAAGGTGGGTTTTTTTCTTCTGCATCCTGCAATCTATTAGAGAGCAACAAAATGCGTCACAAGGATTTGAAATAAATCTTAAAAGGGAGAGGGAGGGAGGGAGAGAAGGGGAGAGGGAGAGAGAGAGAGAGTGTGAGAGAGAGAGAGAGAGAGAGAGAGAGAGAGAGTGAGAGTGAGAGAGAGAGAGACCTTGCCTGTAATTTCATCATAGTTGGGATTTCCAGACACATTACTTCTGCAAATGAAAAAGCCACATCTCTGTCTTGACTATAGCCATGCAGGTTTGCATATCTTTGTTGTTATACCTTGACTTTCCTCAAGGAATTCAAGGTGACCTATATTGCACTCTCTCCTGCAGTTTTGTTCCCTGAACAATGAATCTGTAGAATTAGCTGTAGCCAGCTCTACATCGTTCTCATCAAGGATGCTTATGGGGGCTTGGGCAGGAGTGGGATAGATCTGAGGGTCTCTGGCAGAAGGGGATGGGACCAGGGCAAGTGCCAAGGCATGGTCCACTGGAGGAGCCTCACTGTTCCTCTCAGGCCATGCGGGGGGGGGGGCTTATGAAGCTAAGACTGAATACGTTTCAGCATAAATGGCCACCACAAAATTGTACATTGGCTCCTGCCTGGCCTGGGCCAGGGCCAAGACAGAGGGGGCCATTCCCTCACTGTTTCCAGGATGGCTCCGCAGGCCACATGAAACCACTTTGTGGGCCGCATCCGGCCCCTGGGCCTTGTGTTTGACATGTCTGCTGTAGAATAACCAGAGTTATAGCAATTGATTCCAATGGTACTCCTTGAAACTTCATGGCTTAGATTGTTCTTGAACATGGGCTTCTATTGTTTTAATCCAACCCTACACTTTTTAAAGTTACATTCATCTGAACTGGAAAAACAAGTTTTTTTATTTTGATATACACTAAAATTACTTTTTAAATAATATGTGTATAATTATCAAAATGAATTATCTATAATATGATGCAGAAAATATCAAATGAAAATAGACATGGAGAAGCAAGAATTATTTCTCAGATGCTTTCACTCCTTTCCATCACTTTAATTAGAGAGGAGAAACTGGATTAACCCCGACTTTTTCAAAAGGAGCGGTGACGGATATCAGTCCCCAAAGATCTACCAGGCTGTTATCTGCAGTTCTACCTCAGTATCAAACTGCTGTTCAGAAAGATCCTTGTGACTTAATAAGCTTGGAAAATATTAGGAAAAGGTAAGAACAGAAATGCTCATGTATAATGCTAAGAGAAGATGGGTACTGTTCTATGAATAGGCATACTTCATCCTTAGCCAGACCACACAATGACTTTGATGGAGCAGCATGTTTAACAAGGTCATGGGATGTGGGAGGGGTTGTCAGGAACTGTGGTGGTGTAAGGGTCAAAAAGCAGTATTGCAGGCTAACTCTGCCCACTGCCAGAAGTTAAATGTAACCAGTGCTATCTCTGTCCCATATCAAAGCCTGAACCTTTACTGGTAAGAGATCAAACAATCTGCTTCTTTCCGGGTACTGCAATAGACTATCACAAGGGTGTCAAACTGGCGGCCCATGGGCTGGATGTATCATGCACAGGCCTTGCCCACAAAGGGAAAAATGTCATGATATATCACATGACACGATCAAGTTTGACACCTATGGTCTATCACCATTGTCTCAACAACCTTCTTCACAAAGGAGAGGTTGGAGATTAAATTACAGTAATCTAAATCAGTTGGATCCAGAAATGGCCTCTTCAGAAGGAATATATCTAGCTTTACAGAAGACTGTAGTACATCCTCTTCCATAGAAAGGTATTCACAGTCTCCTGGATCCTAGCAATTAGCTATCTACCTGCTCCTCACAAGGGCCAGAATGTGCAGTGGTCCAAAGAACAAGTAGTAGAGCAGGGCTTTTCAACCTTTCCACAGATTGTACTACTTTTAGGACATGCCAATATTTGAGTACCACCAGTGCTTAGCAAGGTGTCAAAAACATGATGACTTAAAAGGGGGGGGGATTTAGGGTTTTACTGATTAGATTCATTTGTTGTTATAGAAATGGCTAGTTTATAATATTATAGAAAAGTAAAAAGTTGAGGTTCAATATTAATGCTTCCTTCTACTTCAACAAAGGAAGTCTGTTCTTTTTCCCTTCTCCCCCACACTTTCCCCCCTTTTTCCTCCTCACTGTGTCCTACTATTTGCTTTTGTATTTTTGTATTTTATTCTATAATCTAATAAAATATTATAAACTGTAGTAAAAAAGGGAAAAAGTACCAGTTTTAATTTCTTTGGTGGCTATTCCTTTGCTGAATCACTTTCCCTGTGCACTGACAAATGTATGATGAATTTATCCATGTTTATTAACATGCATCACTACCAGCTAGATCAGGGATCTTCAAACTTGGCACTTTTAAGACTTGTGGACTTCAACTCCCAGAATTCCTCAGCCATCAAGGCTGGTTGAAGAATTCTGGAAGTTGAAGTCCATAGGTCTTAAAGTTGCTAAGTTTGTAGACCACTGAGCTAGCTAGTCAGCCCTTCTTCCTCTCTCCTTTCTGAGCTCTTTCCACAGTGTAGTAAGAATGCACCCCCAGTCCTTTCCCAGTAGCCTTAAAGACACAGGAATCAAGTGCAAAGCAAGAAAGGCTCACAAAATAAAGAAACACATAAACTCCAGGTTTTTTTTTCTTTGAACTGCCTCAGGCGTGTCACGTGTCACAATGTTGCAACTTGAAACTGAAAGGCTCTGGCAATTGTGAAAAGCTTTAGTCTTTAGTCTTACCTTGAAAGAAAACTTTCTAAAAGCCATAGACAGATTCAGTTAAAGAGGGTAAAACTAATTACATTTGTTTAAAGGGATTAAACCTTTCCCTGTTGTCTTTTTTTCACTTTCCTGCCCAAACCACCTCCTTTTATAGCTTCTCCTCTTCTGCCCCCCTTTTTCTTCAGTTCACCTCCAGCTCCAACTGCTTCCAGAAGCACCAATCAGCTGGAGCCCTACTGGCTCCTGGAGCTTCTGCCGAGCCCAGACAGTCCTGCAGCTGCAGCTGCCTCTCCCTCAGGCTTGGGTTGCTTTGGCTCTTTCCCCTCCCCTGCTACACTTGGCTAGCAGTCGTGTACCACCTGCCACGTGGTACAGGTAACCACCGGTTGAAAAGCCCTGCTCTGTATTGACCCTTTCCCAGTAGGGAATTTGCCACCTTAAACAAAGCCACTGGACAACAGCACACCAGTGCAAAGAGGGAGGAGAAGTTAGGTACACATCCCCTCCCACAACCATGATGTAGGCGCAGACATGAACAAGTGCCCATGTCTGGTCAAGTTGATTTCTCCTTTTCTTCCACAAGCATTCCAAGTGCCATTTCTGGTGTTTGATTCCCAGAGGACTCAAAGGCACTAAACAGAAAGAGGCCACTTGGAAGCAATAATGTCCAGTGCCTGGTTTGCCTCCTGTTGTCCTTTGCTCACCAGGCATTGAACCTAAGTGCTCATCAGAAAGATGAATAATTCTCCAAGCACCCTTTTGAAGCCAGTTGGACCGATCCAAATAAGTTTCCTCACGCCATGGAGATCATGGGTGGCTATCAATCACAATTGGGTCAGGCCATTATCTGACTATAATAATGGGGTGATGGGAAATGCCTGAGCTTTACCAGAGCCAGTCCCCAGAGCACAGAGGCTGAACTTCCCCAATACTAAACGGTCTCTACCATCAATCTGAAAATCACTTCTAGAAGTCTGGGTGGCAGGATCCTGCCAGAATTAGGGTTGTTGTTACACCGAAAGGATTCTAAGCTTGTCTCTGCAGCTCAGTCTGACATATAAGCATTCACACCCCACTATTTCAAGAACAAAATCCTTTATGATTACAGCCAATTCCCTCTCCCTTATCTTGGCATCAAGACTGCTGAAGCACATGAAACCCAACTTCATCTTGTTTACCTGGTCAGATTTTGGTAAATGCTGGATCTGCTGCCCCACAGCAGATCATCAGTGAAGGTGATCTTTCTGCAGACTTGACGTGAACAAACTGTCCCCTGCCATCAGAATGTGTATTTTTATTATGATTTACTGGCATGCAAATGACTTTAAAAGGAATTCAAAACACAGTTATCTGATTTGTAAGTTTTCAAACTGCAAGAATAACCCACTTCTCAGCACACACAGTACATTTTGTGCATATAATTTTGTTTTCAAATTTTAAAACATGGAAATTACAATGGAATTATGAATTCAGTACACCTTCCTACTATTGAATAGGTTGCGCAGCTACTATACATTACATATGCATTATTATTTCTTAGTACTCTGAACTTGCAAAAATCCATGCATATGCAATATCCATTAAAAATAGAATAGTTTCTTTATTCATGAAACGTAGTATCTCATCACAAAGATGATGCATACAAAAGGTTTAAGAAAAAGATAAAGGAACTAAATCTCTACATACTTTCTTATAACCTTGAAGCAGTTAAAAGGGATGGTACTGATTATTTAGGTGCAGAATCAACAACACTAACCATGATTTAATTTCTCTGATTACCCTCAAGGTCCTTTTGTGCCTATTTATTTTTCATTGTGTAGGCCAGCAACAGCGTGCAGCAATGTGTCTCATATGACATTTAGTGATAGAATGGATTACCTGAAACCACAACTAGATCGAAAATATACCTATGCAGAAACGATCCCTGTAAGTACCATTTGAGTAACAAGAACTGTGGCATTAAATATCTTCTCTGTGAAGAGGTAGGATTCTTTTTAAAAAAATTGGGCACGTCTATGTGAGAACTACTTTGGGTGACAGAGAATTGACCATAGCGATTCTTCTGGAAAAAGGCTATTCCGTGAACATCAAGAGTTTACTGTTTCAAAAAGGCATATGAAAACTAATATGTTCATACATTTGGGTCAACAACAAATAAAAACAAATGCAAAATTTATAGAAACTATGCAGATGCGCTTTCTTTTTTCTTGTAGGTTCAAAGAATTAAATATAGAACATGGAAGACATCTATACCTGAAGAATACCAGAATGAAACTAGTTATTGATTGATTGATTTTAAACATTTATATAGCTACCACATCTTATACTAAATTTTGGGCAATTCCCAATCAAGAAGTAAAACAATATAGAAAACATGTAGTGCCTCCTATTGTGTGCAGCTAATATAATAGCTAAATGCAAAATTTATTGCATTTTTATACAGATTTGCCTAACAATGCTGAAATGATCTTGCAATAGAGCATATTCATGAGTATTCATTAATCCTTTCTTTTCCTGATGGATTAATCTTTTACTGACAAATCTTTTTCTCAGTTCATCCATGTTTGTCTCCAAAGACTGAAAAAAATCCTTCTTTTTGTCTTCAAATTGAATATTGCTATCTAAAATTTAGTACCATGATTCTGGATTGAGTCTGTCACCAGACACAAATCTGTGATGAGAACTTGATTAAAATTTAGCAGGTCTATTAAGAACCAGCAGATATCAGAAATGTATCTAACTATCTATGGTTAGTTAACTGTTGCAGCTAAAACTATAATCAAGATATGTCCACTTGACATATATCAAGAAAGGTTAAGGAAAAAGCTACACAAAATGAACCCTACAGCTAGTTTTTGTTTTTATTTTTAAATGAGACTCAGCTGCTACAAGTCCTTTTTAACAAAACAGCAAATCTGATAAATTACAGAGCCTTCCAGGGTCCCTTCGTTATTAATTATTGCAAAGAAGTGAAAAAGATCAACTAACTATAATCATAGCATCAACAGAATTTAAAAACTGCGATCACCCACATGACTTTTTATACCCGTTGAGAAGGGAAAATCTGTTAGTTGGAAGAAGACGGGAAAGAAGTGGGAGGCAGACAAATTTAAGACCAAAGTATATAACAAATGGGGGGAGGGGAGAAACCTATGAAGTTTATAGTAAGAACAGCAAAACAAATTTGATATCTGATTGTGCTTTCTCTCTCAAATAAAAATAACAGCAGTTACAAAGACAGTTTCACCCAAGACATAATGAAACTGCATTATCTTGATGAATTGTTGTCTCTGTTATTCAGGGTAAAATCGCCCCAGATTTTTCTGAACTAGGAAGTTCTAAAATGGAAAGAATGCTGCAATCTCTTTACTTGGAGAACAGAGCAGGCTACGTCTTCACCGACTTCTGTGAGAAATCAGGTGATAGGGTAAGAAAAATTTCTTATTGGTGGATTTCTTGGTTGGATTTTCATTAATATTTGGAGTCTTTCCATAGCTTTAAGGAGGAAAAAAGGTTTGTAAAAGTCAAAATAGTGACTGGCCAAAGATCAGCAATTTAGCTTCAAATTGAAGATTGATTTCAAAACCTACAGTTTCACACATCTAAGTGAATTACATCTGAATACTAGTATTTTAAGTAGATATGCTGGCTGAAGCTGATGGGGGTTAATCTAGTACAGTGGTTTTCATCATACCCACTTAAGAAGAAGGTTCTGAAATATTTCCACAAAGTTTTTCCATTGTGAGAATTTAAACATTGTCTTAAACATGTCTTGCATTGTTTTAGTATCATTTCAGCTTCATGTGGCTCTGGATTATCTGTTGTAGACTTCTTCTAGTCAGCATACTTAATTCTTCCAAACAAAACTATTCTCTATTTCAGAAAAGGTGCTATTCGCAGCAGGTTATTGTACAGCCATATAAAGAAGGTTATTAATAGTATAGAAACAATTTTCTTCTTGAAAAGTAGTAAATTCTGTCTTTAGGGTGAACATAGCTATTCCATTTTCACTAAAAATGGAAGAAAAAGGTGTCACTGAAAAACCAGGATACATAAATGGATATAAATATATACCTGTGTCTTCAGATTGAAGATATTTCAAGAAATAGCAGTGTTTCTTGTGCAATTGCAGTGGGGGATTGCTGTTTATTTTAGAGAAGAGTGCATGGTATTTAAATTCTAAACACAATTACATGAAAATATAATTTCACTGGATTTCACCCCATTTATTTCACTGGATCTTATTTCCAACAAAATATTTAGAAAGGGTCAGAAATGCTTATCTGCAAAGGACACCTATTGAAAATTATGGGACGTTTACAGGTAAAAGATTTGCAGTGTTTTAATCCTGAGCATGCTTACTTGGAAACATGTTTCATTAAAGCTGAATGTATTTCTTTGTACAAACATAATGCATATGTTTGTATACAAGAGTCCAGCAGGTCTTAAATGTTAAATTATATATTTTTGAAGCAATTAAATATTAAACAATTATATACTTTTAAAGCAATTAAGTAGGATCAAGCTATATGAATGATTCCCACTTACTGTAGATTCACTGAAATCAAAATAAAGTATAGTCCAATTTTTATGGTCAAAATGTACATGTTATGTCAGCTGGTTGGTTCAGTATTTTAAAATAATAGTTTTAAAAATTGATTTTTTTTTCTTTTTAAAAAGAGGAGCTAGTGAACTAACAAGATTCATAAAGCTTTTTTGTCCCTCTGGAAACACTTAGCTCTGAGCAATAATACCAAACTTTAATAAAATGTAGTTGAGGAATACTTCATAAAAATGTATTATCTTGTTGGTCATGATAATAATATCAGTAATTGCTAAAAAAATGCTGTCAAAACATAAATTTTAGATGCACATAATGAACCATCGCTTTATTTCATTCTAACATGTTTAAACTTTGTAATTTACATTGTTGTTGTAGTTGTTGTTAGTTGCGAAGTCGTGTCCGACCCATCGCGACCCCATGGACAACGTTCCTCCAAGTCTTCCTGTCCTCTATCATCTTCTGGAGTCCATTTAAGCTCACTCCTACTGCTTCAGTAACTCCATCCAGCCACCTCATTCTCTGTCGTCCCTTTCTTCTATTGCCCTCAATCTTTCCCAGCATTAGGTCCTTAATTTACATTAAGAATTTAATTACCAATTATATGCAAAGTGTACAATAAAATATACAGAATGTATTTCAGTTGTTGTATCTTTATACATGCTGTCATTCTGCCAGTATCAAAAATACTACTCAAACTGTACTAAATTAAATATGATTTATAATTAATCTTAAGGAACTGAATGTCCCTTGAGATTCTTCCAGATGTCCAACTCTTTTTCTCCCAGCCCTCTGAATTTACTTTAAAACCCACCCAAGACTTACTTGGGTTTCTTTGTTTAACTCTATCCGATCTGTTTGGAGATCAGAACACAGTGACAGGGATTGTGGGTGTGCTCAGTAGATAATAGATCTCCAATGAAGCTTACCCGTTTTCACACATACAAAAAAGAGAATAAATTGCTAATGTTCCCTTATGATTCTGCACTCCTTCTAAGTAGCTACTTTTTAGTGCTTCCCCACCTTCTAATGATGCTGTCCTAGGTATTCAGCGTTTCAGCTTCTTTTGTTTTATCAAGCCAGCATGCTACTATGCACTGGGTTGAAGCAAACATTCCCCGGCATTTGTCTTCCATCCTGGTCTTTTAAGCCCAGGAGCATTTGTGAAGTGTTTCTGAAACAGGATTTACTGTCCTAAAATAGCAATCCCACCCATACATACAATATAATTGGCAAGGATTCTATCCAAATTTAATAGGGGCGGTGGGTGGGTGGGAAGTATTCATCATCACTGTGTTTGTTTGCCTAGATAGAAGAACTGTTGAAATTTAGGACACTAACCTAATGTTTCTTAACCTTGGCAACTTTGAGATATGTGGACTCCAACTCCCAGAATTCCCCAGACAACCCTGGGTGGAGAAGTTTGGGAGCTGAAGTCCATAAAACTTAAAGTTGCCAAATTGAGCAAGACTGCGCTAAACAATGAAAACTTTGGTAGTAATATCTTTCCTCCCATCTCTTCCATCTGTAGCTATGGAAGAACAGCACATATTTTTGGTTTGACCTTCAGGATTATCATCAGCTTTTCTATCAAGAAACGCTCCATCCTTTGAAACTATGCAAGCAAGCACAAGTAAGTCATAAACAAGACTCTCTCTACCCCCAAGGAAATAGTTTGGGATCATAATTAACAAAATATGTATAAATGGAAGTAACTGAGTTTATCTAAACATCAACCAGGCATGGTTTTTGTTCAGAAATATCTCCCAGTTCCAAACATTTCATAGATTTATAATTCCTATGCAATTATTCTGTTTTCTGTGCAGCTAGTGTTTTGGATTTCTTTCTTTCTTTCTTTCTTTCTTTCTTTCTTTCTTTCTTTCTTTCTTTCTTTCTTTCTTTCTTTCTTTCTTTCTTTCTTTCATAGAAGATTTGGAACTATTTGGAAATATTTGTGGAATGCTAAAAAGAAAGAATTGCTATGTATCAATCAGCTGAAGATTCATTTTTGGGCATCTTGTTTACATAGGCTTGAAAAAAACTTCTACTTTAGCTCTTTTTTCTTTTTGGATGCATAACAGAAAAGAAAATATATTTCTGTCATAAATACAAACTTTTGGGCAGTTAGTTTTGGAGGAGATTAAGCTGATGATTAGGGTGTTATTCAGTTTCTTGGTTATTATTTTTAACGTTTGCTTTCCATCTTCTTGTTTTCTTGTCCTTCTACTTCATAATCTATGTAAATTTAGTACGTTGCTTGGGCAGGGACAATATATCTCCTAGTCACAAATTTCAAGACTAAATAGTGAACAGCATTTATTTTCCGTGTATATAAATGTGTAGTTCAGATTGTGAATTTGAGAAAAACTGGCATCTCTATGCAGATGAGGAATCTATTCAGATTTTTGTTTTTCTATTATATGCATCCATTCAGCAATTCCTCTGGTTTGTTCTATGTTTTCCTTGCTGAATTTGCTGTAACCATCAAAATTGCTTGTTCATGTATTCATTTGTTCCTTCCTTCATGTCTGTCTTGCTTATATGCTCTTCCTAAATGCTTAGTCCATATATTACATGAGTTTTTCTCAACCAGAAAATGATTAAGAGATAAATCCTGCAGGGGTATTTAAGAATTCTTTTGTTTTTCACATCAGGAACATTCAGACTTTTTTTCAGTCAAGACCTTTACTTTGCCCTTGAATAGGATGTAAGGAGCCACATTCTACAATATTGGTGCTCACTTGTAGTTAGCAAGAATTACTACTACGTTGGTAATTACTTCTTGAATTTATACTCTATCATGCTTCTAATCTAACTCTGCTCTGAGGACATTTCAAATTAAAATGGCAAAATATGTCATTGAGCCACTTGTTATTCTTCAAGAAATCACAAGAACAAGAAACATATGAGAATAATATAAGCATAACTGAATACAGGTAGTCCTCGACTTACAACAGTTCATTTAGGGACCGTTCGAAGTTACAACGGCATTGAAAAAAGTGACTTATGATTGTTTTCCACACACATGACCATTGCAGCACCCCCATGGTCACGTGATTTACATTTGGATGCATGATCACTGGTTCATATTTATGACGATTGCAGCAGCCCAGGGTCAGGTGATCCCCTTTTGCAACCTTCTAACAAGCAAAATCAATGGGGAAGCTGGATTCACCCAACAATTGTGTTATTAGCTGATCAACTGCATTGATTCACTTAACAACTGTGGCAAGAAAGGTCGTAAAGTGGAACAAAACTCACTTAACAAATTTCTCACTTAGCAATATAAATTCTGGGCTCAATTGTGTCGTAACTCGAGGACTGCCTGTAACATGTATGTTTTAAAAGCTTGAGAAAATATGTAATCAACAGGCATTGATAAAGAGACTAACATAGGGGGGGACAAGGCAGCTACATGCCATAGGGCTACCGTTACTTCTGGCTTCTTTGCACGTGCAGTATCCAAAACATATTTGCAAATATATTTTTTCTTTTTTATATGAGTGTGGTGGCCTAGTGGTGAAGACACTTGCCTCCCATTTGGAAGGTTGAGAGTTCAATCCTAGGTAGCTGCAGAGATTTCTTTCCTAGAACGCAAAGAAAAAATATCTGCTCTGAAGTCTGTGTGGTGACAGGAAGGGCATCCGGCCAGTAAACACTCAGCTCCATCCAGTCCCCCCTGACTCTACCCCGAATAATTAAGGGATTACAGGATCGTAAAAAGGGAGGGTTTGTTTTCCTTTTTATATGACATAAATTTACCATAGCAGAGCTGAAGTTACACAGGGATCTGTCCATGGACAGTATGAACCAATATATGTATTTCTGGCTTTATGTGAATGAAGTCATAAAAAATGATATTAGTAACTGAATCTCATCACTGTTCAGTAAACAATAAAGGAAACTTTTTATTGTTATGCTAGATAACCATTGCTACCAAGATATATAAGGGGTTGGAAATCAAAAGATGGAAAATTTCATCTTGTGAGATGTAATTTAATTAAAGATTAAATTCTTTCAAATATACTATAGCTGCATTATGAATAGTAGATTCTGAATCCACCACCCTAATTCAACAGATATCATTGCATTATATTTCATATGACTCTTTTTCTTTATTTTTTTTATTGTAAAATATAATTCTTTATTGGCTAACTGTGATTGGACACACAAGAAATCTGTCTCCAGTGCATAAGCTCTCAGTGTACATACAATCCACAGTCATAATCATAATACAATCATCATGAAGCATAAGATACAACACTCAATGATAGTCATAAGATACTAAATAAAAACAATTAGCATAAATCATAAGATACAAAAATCAAAGTGATAGTCATAAGCTGCTAAAGGAATAGGTAATAGAAAAGATGAGAAGAATTTTATATTTAGCTGTGCCTATGGAATATTTGTCTATCTATGAATAAATGGGAAACATAAATCCAAAGTTATTTAAAGTAAACATCAATTAGAATGTATCAATTTTTAATTATATTATATAGAAAGAAATCTTTTAAAGTATGGGACGGAGAAATTACTAGGCAATTTCTAGTTGACCATCAGCTTTCTGTTAATTTTTACAAAGAAGGATAAAATGTGCTTTTGCCTATGAATCTTTAAGAATGGACAAGGTTCATGCTTTATCTTATTGACATACAATGAAAATCAAACTGAATTTGAGGTTAAATCATTTTTATGCATATTTATTATTTAAGCAACAGTCAATGGAAACCATAATTATGATTTCAGTAGTGAAAAAAACAGAACACATATTGCTTCTCAAACTCTTACATACAAATGCATGCATATATTCCTCAAATGTTCAGATTTCCAATGTTTTGGTTAAAGTTTTGTGTTTCTTTGTAGTTTTAATGAAATGAATGCTGCCATAAAACCTGTAGGTAGTATAATGGACAGATTTCTGCCAGGACCACCAAAATGTTAAGATCTTTTTGAATGATGGAAGAGATATGAGCATTAAATAAACTTGATTATTTTTATTGTCATAGCAGCATCATTTCAAATAATCTTCATTTCATGTCCTCTCAGTTTTTGTTTCCCCTGCTGGTTGTTGCAGGGTTTCATTAAGATCTTTGTAAACCCTTGTTGTGTAATCAGATAATTAGGGTTTTAAAGGGATTCCCTGGATTTATACTTCAATAAGTCAGAGAGTTAGTTGCAATAAATACACACATAATAAAGTAGTAATGTCTTGGATATATTTAATTTTACAACATACAAATTTTACTCCAGTCTTCGGATTTTCAGATGTTTTGGGGTTTTACACTTTTGAAGGCCCCAAACCTTTGTGGACCCTGGGAACTTGGGGTCCATTTTTCTCCCTGTCTCAGCATCCTTCCTCCTAAGATGTTTTTAAGAAGAGACTGGACAGCCATTTGTCCGAAATGGTGTAGGGTTTCCTGCCCGAGCAGGGGGTTGGACTAGATGACCTCCAAGGTCCCTTCCAACTTTACTACTATTATTATTATGTATCAATAGCTCCTCTAAACTAAAAATCTCCCTCTACTTCAGGTGGAAGGGTTTCAGGAGGAAGAGTAGCTGTTTGCTCCTCTGAGAACAAACAGCAGGCAGGGGAAGGCACCCCATCCCTATTAGTTAGTCTCATCTATCCAGAAGTTTCTATCCTGACTTCAGTTGGGAAGCCTCTGTTGCCATGTGGTAGTTGTCCAACAATCTTCCTCTGATATCATCTCTTTTCCTCTCAGTACCTGAAGAATCCATAGGTGCTAAAGCTGCAATGCAAGATTAGCCAGAGGCTTGGATTTGGTTGGGTACTGAGCATAGAACTGTTGAAGGAATGTGTGGACATCAACTCCTATTTTCCAGGATCTGGCTGGATCTGCTTTGCCTCTTCTGTGCCAAAAATCCAAATATGCTCTATCTCACATTATTCTTTTCCCCAAATCAACATCGAGGTGCTGGTATGTAGTATGGTAGGTTGTAAGAAGTACAGGGGCATCTTAGGACAGGAGGAAATGGAAAAAAAATCAGATTTATCTTTAGTGTAATTGGAAGCTACAACAGAGTGATACAACAGAGCTACAATAAAGTGATTGGATTGATCAGTCCATGTACTGGGAAGAGTCTTAGATGCAATGGCATCTGGCTTTTTTAGACAGTCATGTATCAGGAAGAAATCTGGTAGAAAGCTAGAGGAAGTCTCCAGCAGCAATGGTGAGGTCAGTAGTTTCCTGGCAATGTTGATCAGCAGTTTGTTCGTAAGAAACCTTGGCAAATTTCAGGAGTTATTATGCTGCCTGGAGAAAGTGATGTGAATGTAGAAATATAAGGCTTGAAATTATGATATATGAGTAATAGAATAAACTGAGTTATTATAGCTACTCAGGCCAATTTTCTTCCTGGCAGTTTAGTATGTAAAACCACCCCATTCCCATTTTTATAGGAAAATACAGAGAAGATGCCAAATAAACTTGGTTACAGATGGTGAGCAGAAGAGCATCAGTACATTCAGAAATTGGCTTTGATTATAAGAATTTGCCATCTATGGTTGCACCCTCAAGGACATAAAGCAGATCTGCATTCAATAGAAGGGTCCATGTCTATTGCTTGTGATGCCAAAATTTATTGGGACTTAAAGATGTATTGCAGAAC